TTCTCAGCAGATTCATTATATGGGAAAGCTATCAATTTATGATTTGTGTACATTAATCTTGTATCCTGCTAATTTTCTGAATTTGTTTATCAGCTCTGAAAGTCTTCTGGTAGAGTTTTTTGGGTCTTCTAGATATATAATCACATTTTCAGCAAACAGAGATAATTTGACTTCTTCTTTTTCTATTTGTATCCCTTTAATTTCCTATTCTTGCTTGATTAGTCTAGATAGAGTTTCAAGGACCATGATAACTAGGAGTGGTGAGAGTGGGCATCTTGTCTTGTTTCTGATTTTAGAGAAAATGCTTTCAATTTTTCTTTTCAATATGACACTGAGCTTGGGTTTGTTTATATCGATTTAGCATGTTAAATTCCTTCTGTCTCTAGTATTCCTTCTTTCTCTAGCGTTTTTGACATGAATGGGAGCTGGATTTTGTCAATGGCTTTTTCTGTATCTATGGAGATGATCATGTGATTCTGTCCTTAATTATTTTTATGTGGTGAATTATATTTATTAATTTGCATTCCTTGGATAAAATCCACTTGATCATAATTTTTGAATGCAGTTTTCCAATATTTAATAAAGGATATTTGTATATATGTTCATCAGGGATACTGGTCTGTAGTTTTCTTTCCTTGACATGTTTTTGTCTGATTTTGGTATCAAGGTGATACTGGCTTCATAGAATGTATTTGGGAGTGTTTCCTTCCTTTCTATTTTATGTAATAATTTGAGGAGATTCTGTTTTTAAAAGAGAAACAAGGAATCCAGAGTCTAATATGATTATCTCCAAATTTTTAATGTTGGCATTTAATCTGCTTTAATACCATGAAATCCTAGCAAAACACATCCATGAGCTGTGACGGGGCTCTAACCCACAGGATCTTAAATCTTCAGAGTTCAATAAATATGCATGAAGCATTCTCTCCATGCTTCTCCATGCACTGTGGAAGGTATAGAGATACTAGGACAAATACAAACCAGCAATATTCCTTGAGGAGCTTACACTCTGGCAATCAAAATGTATAGAATAAAAATACCTTAAAAATAATTATAATCTTGAAGGAAAATTAAATTATCACATAATATCACAAATATTTAATTACAAATTATGACAAATGCTATAAAACAAAAACATGCAGCAGAGTCAGAGATAAGGGAAGGAGTAACCTAACATTTAAGTTGTTGTCTAAAAAATCAGCATGTATTTATCCCAAGGAAGAAAAAGAAGATGAGCACTGGAAGCAGAAGAGGCAGCATGTGCAAGAACCCTGGGTCCTTGCAGATGGGGGACTGACAGGGAGCCTGAGTGACCATGACACAGTGAACAGTGGAAAGAATCACATATGACAAGGCTGGAGAGAGAAGTGGGGTAGACTTGCACATGGACTTGCACATGGTAGAAATTCGTGCAGAAGTGATGAAGATTCAGCTACTCGGCTCTGCCATCACAGGGCTTCCACGCTGGAGTCACATAGCACAGCGATGCAGATCACCTCGGGGCCGGTATGCTGACCACAGCACTGTGTGCCCTGGTTCCCATATCCACCAAAAGGGCCCAAACATAGGCTGACACTGTTGAAACTCTCACAGACTCTCTGAGGTGGGGGGTCGGGGGAGGTACAGCTACACAGAGAGTGGACAGTGCTGCAGCACAGATGTTTAAGATGGCTGTAATGAGTCTTCTCCATGTTTCAGATAGAGAAAAGGATGAGAAGATCAGAGAGAGACAGAAGATAGAAAGATACTTATCTAGAACTTTCATAGCTGCATAGATGAGGTTACCAACACATTAGACACTATGGAGGGGAATGTTCAGGAGCATTAATACATAGCAGTAGAAACTATTCAAGATGAAACACAGAGATAAGAAAGAGAACAAAATGAACAGGGCATCTTTGAACTGTGGAATGATACCATGTAATCTAACATATCTAACTAGGTCCCAGACGTGGTGGAGACAGGAAAAGAATTTGAAGAAATAACAGCTGAAAACTTTACAAATGTGAAAAGGACTACAAATCTGCAGATTTAAAGAGCCTTAACAAAACCATGGAAGGGAACATGAAGAAAACCACACCAAAGTGCATCACAGCCACGTTGCCAAAAACTAGGGCCAAAGAGAAAATGGTCAAAGTGCTAGGAAAAAAAGGACACAAGGAGATCTGTCCATGTCAAGCAAAAAGATTCTCTCAAAATGAAGGCAAAGTAAAGACTGACTTGGACATACAAAAGCAGAGATCATTTCTCACTATCAAACCATAAAAAAAGTTAAAGGAATTTCTTTAGTGATAGAAACATTGTCTGAGTGGGATATTCAGACTCACAGAGGGTGCTGCAGTCTGGCTGGGCACAAATCACGAGCCACTCAAGCAGGAACGAACTTTATTTCCGAACTCCACCAGCACACTCCACACATGCTCCCTGGGAACCTCTGCCAGACGCCACCCGCCACCCACCACCCACGCGGCTCCTCCAGGCACACACCACACCAACCGGAAATCCCTCCTCCTGACCTTCCCCAACCAACAGGAACCCTCCAGGAATCCCCTCGAGAACTCCAAAGCAGGGGGTGCTGGAGGCAGCAAGAGCCGCCCCATTGCCCGCCGGTAAAGGTCAAATATACAATACAATCAATCCAGCATCACAGCAATTATATATAGCTTAACTCAAATCATCATCTCAATGGTTCGCTGGTGTCACCTTTCAAACATTCCCTCTGGCAAATGCCAGGTGTCATTCTGACCGGGCTGTGGCTCTCAGCAAGAGGGAATGAAAAATTCTAGAAATCAGTAAATATAGAGAAGTTTTTCTTTATTTTTAACCTCTTAAAAAGATAATTGATTATCTAAATATTAAAGCAAAAATAATAATTTATTGTGAATTGTACTGTATACATAGAAGTAAAATGGACGACAACAACATAAACACCAGGAGGCAAGAAATGGACCAGAGCACTACAGGGTCTTGTAGGTAAAGTGTCATGTCATTATTTGCAGGGAGTCTTGTACGTTAAAGCTGTAAACTGTAGGACACTGCTAACAACAAAATTAGACCAAGGGGCCAACAGTGGGGACTTGAGAGAATCATTAAAAGCACTCAACCCAAAAGGAGGCAGGAAAGAAGGAAAATTAACAAAGAACAGACAGAAAAATAAAGCACATAGCAGGATGGCGGTTTTCAATCCGACAATTTACTGACATTCCAAGTGAGTGGAAAGAACACTGCAAGTAAGCTGTGAATTGTAAGATTGAATAAAATATCAAACTGTATACAGGATTCCAAAATCCACTTAATATTAGATACAAAGAGGCTAAAAGGCAACAAGTGGAAACAAAAAAAAATCTGAAAATAGCAAAAGGAGTTTTAAGAAAGAGGAAAGGAGAAGGCGGAGGACACTATCAAAGCATGATATAGGCACATATGGAAGTGTCACGGTGAACTCCCCAAATCTGCATAATTAGTATGTGCTAATAATTTTAAAATATTTGAAAGAAAAAAAGAGATGAATACATGTGCTCAGGTAGAACAGTTCATATCAACTAGAAAAGAGAAAGAAATTACAAAAAATATATACCATTACCAACTAACTGTAACTGTACACAAGGCCATCTATAAAGTCATCCCATTTGTATGAGCTCATAGAGAAGCAGATGCCAGTGAAGGAAACAGGGGGCAGTTGCCTGGGCCTGGGTGGGAGAGGGCACTGACTGCGAGGCACAAGGCAACTGTGGAGTGAAGGAACCTGCTCTATCCACTGTGCCTATAGCTATGAGCCTGTACACATCTGTCAAAACTCAGCAAATATTACACTTAGATTTGGTGAACTTTGTTATGTGCAAATTTATCTCAATGAAGATGATGAATAGAAGGGAGTGAGGGAAGGAAGGAAGGGTGGTGGGAAAAGGTGAGGCAGCACAAAAGGAAGAAAGGAAGGCAAGTGAAGGAAGGAGAGTCTGGGGGAGGGAAGAAATGAAAATGAAAACATCTGTTTTCAAAAAGCACAATCCCTCGAGTAAGAACAGTTCCCAGCGTCCTTTCCCCATCCTGAACATTTCAGTCTTGATCCTTGCCTGCCCAGAGCCATGCGCTGGTGGCCTCCCCTCTACCTCAAGACAGTGATCGGGCTACTGTATCAAAGATCACAGTATCCCGAAGGAAATCCCTGCACCTGCTGCTGGTAGTGACACTTTCACTGAATTAACTGAGGACCCCTCCTACAGGGGACACTGCCCAGCCCTGGGGCTGTCTCAACTCTGCCCTCGCCCCTTCCCTCCTCACTTGCTCCGTCTCTACCACATCTTCCCTTAATTGTTGAAAGCCCCACCCAACCCTCTGGTCTTTTGACTTTGAGCATCTCAGTTCCCCTTCTTCAAAAAGGAAGACCAATTTCTACATCCTCCACATCCTGCCAGAAAGGCAAGGAGAGCACATACGGGATGTGAAGGGGTTTCCGGGCACACTTCAGGGGACAGACACACTTCCTGAGCGCTAGGATGACTACACTGCTTATGGGAGCCCACCTGAGGCTGGGGGGGGAGAGATTGATCAGTGCTGAGGGGGACTCCAGTTGGAAAGAAGTTAAAGACGTAGTACTTTCAGAGCCCAAAATAAACAATGTAAAGGGCCCCAAGTGTACATCCATCCCATGTTAACAGCAGCTAAATATAAGAGGACTCATCAAGCACCACAGAGAAAATATAACTTGTTCTCACACTTTGAGGTGATTTACTGACCAGAGGTATTTGAGTCTGTGATTATATTTAAATAATTGTTAGGATACCCTGGAAAATTGACTTGCTAAACCTTAACTAATTCACTAGTTACAGCTATTCTGTGGGCATAGAAGTAAGTATTGTGAATCTTTCCAAATTATAAAGTTTCACTATAGAAAGGCATATACCCGCCAGAGAGTTCATCTCAGGCTCCCAGATTTGAGAATGATGCAAAAGTCGTCCTTGGTATCTGCCCAGATGTCCTCATGGCCTTTACTTCCCCAGGTGCGTCTTACCCCGACCACACATCCCCCGTGGAGCAGATGGACGATGCTGTAGCTCCAGGCCAAGAATACACCTATGAGTGGCACATCGGCGAGGACAGTGGTCCCACACAGGACGACCCTCCCTGTCTCACCCACATCTACTACTCCTATGTAAATCTGATTCAGGACTTCAACTCAGGGCTGGTTGGACCCCTCCTTATCTGTAAGAAAGGTACAGATTCCACATCAGCAGATATGTTCTGGTGGTAAGGAGCTCCGTGTGGGATGCAGTTTGGTACCTTGTACCTGCCTTCTGTACATCAGGCAGAGGGAGCAGGGTGGTGACCGATCATTGCTTGATAGTAGAAAACACCTACTGTTTGAGGGCCTGGACCCTACCCTGTTTATTCTAATTCTTCCTTTAGCTCAGGCTTGGACGCTCCTACCAAGTAAATGACTCTCTGAGAGTGTATTCTGACATCATGCTTATCACACTGACCTCAATGCTGGCCTTTCTAAAAGGGGACAGAAGCCTGTATTCTGCTGAAGAGTTCTTAGAAAGAATGCAGGTGAAGGTATCTGACATGCTGGACAGAGCAGAGGCTTGGGTTGGTAATTGGTCTATAAATACACGAAACTACAGCTTCCTTTCTTATCATCAAGTTGAACACTTTGAGTAGCAGGTTTCAAACATACTCAAGCTGACTTTTTAAGAAATGTCATTGTCTGGGCTTGGGTTCTCCTTTTACCTAGGAATTCAGCCCATGTTCCCTTAAAACAAGCAAAGAGCCACAACAAACTGTGCCAGGAGAAATAATGTGATGCCCTCACCATTTGCCGACACAGACACAGACCAGACCTACGCACAACTCAGTTATTCATTACACAAATACATTTTTTTCATTGCCTGTATACAGAAGATATTGTAATGGACACTGACACTTGTTAGGGTCTGTAAACAAGTCAAGATGGCACCTGGCATTTTGCCAGAGGGAGTGGTTTGTGAAGTAACGCCAGCGAGCTATTAAGTGTGGAGATTCCTTATTGGTTGACTGCTGTATCTAGTTTATGTTAATTAAGATAAGCTGTGTGGAATGTATATATACCCCTCCTGTCCTACAATAAACGGCTCCCACTCCTGCTGTATCAATGTACACAAGTTGCTCGTCACCTCCCGGTTATTTTGCTGCAGCCGGACTGCGGCAGACACTTAAATTTTTTAAACTTATGAAAAGCCCCTTTTTCATTTTACCATCAGCAGCAATATTTCCTTACATGAAAATGAATTACTCCTGATACATCCAATTCTCTACTGGCCCATATCACATACAAACGAGATAGCTGCATTAAGCTTAGCGTGTGAGACTTTACCACCTGAGCTAAGGTAGTACGTCTTGGTCTGATAAGACTCAAGGAAATGGATACTTATATAGAACAGTCCTTGATAGTCACCAAATGCTTTCTTTCTGTTCCAGGTAAAATTTACCTATAAAGCTGTCCCCCCAGACCACCAGGTGCCAAAATAAATAATGTGGCACCAGAAATTTAATAACTCTCAACTATTATTCCTTGATAAAGATGCTATTTTCAAAAATAACAACTCTTCAATTATATCCTTATGATTGTTTTCTTGCCCTAAACCCTTTGCTATCTAGAAAGCTAATGAGTCTTCAATGCAGGAGGCTACCATGTATTTTCTCTCAGGCACCCTAACTGAAGATGGGACTCAGAAGATGTTTGACAGGCAACACATACTGCTGTTTGCTGTGTTTGATGAAAGCAAGAGCTGGGCCCAGTCGTCGTCCCTGATGTACACGGTCAACGGCTATGTGAACAGGACGATGCCAGGTAACACCTGAGCCATGCACTACCCAACCACTGTAGACTAGCTATACCTTGGCTCCACCGCCTCCCCCAGGCACTAGGCAAGGAGGCCACTTCCTGTTTTTCAACTCCTATCAGAAAGCAACATCATCTAGGGCAGCATTTCTTAAGACTGTATCACCCTTCTTTTAAACCAGGAAAGTATGATATGCAAATTAGAAACTAGCTTGGACAAGGACAGCCTTCTCTGGTGTGGTGCTCTGAACAGGCTTCACTTGGCCTGTCTTCCAGGAAGACCTCCAGGGTGTCAGTTCAGTCTCCCTCAGTGAGTCTTGTGAACCTTGCTGCGTTATGAACACACCTACTTCCAGGTCATTCCCTAGCAGGAATGGTCAGCAAGTCAGCAGGAAGAATGCAATAAAGACACTTTCAGTGAAGATGAACTAATAGGAGAAATCCCTAACATACAAATACATTATTTATTTCAAAAGTTGATGGATGAGTAATATTCAATGGCATGCAGAATGTTTTTCTTTAATTTCCATATATCAACAGACTCTGATGAGAAAGTAAAATCAGAACTACTGTTAAGTAGAAAATAACCTTAACGTCCACTGTATTCATCCATTTTCTGTTGCTGTAACAAAATACCTAAAGCTGAGTACTTTATAAATAAAAAGAGGTTTTCTTTAGCTCACAATTTTAGAAGCTGAACATCCAAGATTGAGCAGCCTCATCAGTTCAGCTTCTTGTAAGGTACATTTTGTCTGTGTCACAACATGGCAGAGAAGCAGAAAGAGAAATGGCCACATACAGGAGAGGTCAAATACACGGGTGGACTTCCTTTATAACAACTTACTCTGGTGAGAAGTAAATAGGGTGCCTCCACAGGCTTTACCTCTTAAAGGTCTCTCCTCTTCCCCACCACGACACTGAGGACCAGCCTATAGCACATGAATCATTACGGACATACTAACCACATCCAAACCACAGCTCTGCCCAGACCACCTCTCCTCCCTCCTTTTGGTAGAATTGATTAAGAACTAACACTCCAGGGTATATGGTAACAAGTCTGAGGACAAAATAAAAGCATTTCCCTGTAGAACACTAACTTCTGAGATGTCATTCTCTTTGTCTGAATAGCACAAATGGCTTCAGCTATAAAAAAAATAAATCATCAAGAGTTGAGGTCTAGGTATTGCTTGTAAATTGAATTCTATTTCTTTTGACTCTGTTCTCCACCTGAGTTATTAAAAACACATTCTAAGACTCTGGGCATTGACTCTGAACTCCAAAATCAGGAACTGGTAAACCTGAAGCTCAGTTAATCCTGGGAGGTTTAAGTCCACACCTCATTCTCTTCCCCATCTTAGGGTAATCTCTACGTACTTACTTACAAAAATGGATTGACCATCTCTCTGTGTCTCGAGAGTGAAAAATGCCTGTAAACATATGGCAGCCAAAAGAAAAAAAAAAACTTGCTGGGCTCAGTATAATCCCATGACATCTCAGAAGTTAGTATTCTATAGGGAAATGCTTTTATTTTGTCCTCAGACTTGTTACCATATGCCCTGGAGTGTTAGTTCTTAATCAATTCTACCAGGAGGTGAGGCAGGAAGACTGCGAGTTCAAAGCCAGGCTCAGCAACTACAAGGTGCTAAGCAATTCAACAAGACTCTGTCTGTAAATAAAATACAAAAGAGGGCTGGGTATGCGGCTCAGTGGTTTGAGTGCCAGTTACTGCCCGCCCCCTGAAAAAAACAACTTCATGAGACAGAGATAATAATTTAAGTTAGAAACGAATAATTGGGGGTAAAAGGGCAAGGGAAGGGTAATACCATTAATAGAAGAGTTGATGCCTATAAAACTCCCTGCCTATGGAACAGGATAAATTGAAATAATGTGATGAATGCTGATTCAGTTGCTCTTCCACATGAGCATTCCTTAGGGGTGTAAGACTCCAAAAAGCCTCCTACTTTCAGCTTGTACCAGTGCTGCCAGACTCCCTGCATCGTTACAGTGGTCTCCAGAACAGTACGAGCCCCTCAATGGGTAGGAACTGATTCTCAGTCCCGTGATCTAGTGTCTGGTGATTATAGATCTGAAATTTAAAGCCCATGAGAGAGACAGAAACCAGGATTAAAATATCCTACTGAGCTAATAAGCATTTTTCCAGTTGCTGTGGAAGCGAAGAAGGAGCAAAACAAATTTTTGTCCTCAGTTCTCATTACTCCATCCATGAAACGCTCCCAGGGGCCCAGCATAATGAGGACATCCACGGCATTTTAAGGAGAGCCTGTGACCCAAAGTCAGACAATCAAATGTGAATGAGAAAGCAATAGAAAGTCCTCCCTGTAGGCAGTGCTTTGTCCCTGTCTAGGGAAGAAGAGAAAGCTTTTGGATGCAGCCTTATTGGAGGTTCTTGTTGGATTCCTTCTGTTGCTGTAACAACAGAGAGCAGACTGGTGTGGCCGGCCACCCTGTCTTACCCAGGATTCTATCAGTTCTCATACTGAGAGTCCTGGGTAAGTCGGGACAGCTGGCCACCTACTCAGTCCCCTCCATGGCCTAATCCCTCAGCACTCCCATGTTTCTAAACTAATGTCCCCCAGCTCTGGGCTCTACTCTGACCTTGGTAACTTGCTGCTATTTACTGCAGTGGGCTATGACTGCTCCTTTTGCTGTCACTCTGTAGGACAGCACCACAACTGGAGCATCTGCTCCCCACCGCAAACTTCACAGAATGCCTGCCACAGAGCGGGTGCTTGCTGTGCATTGGGAAGTGAACTTTTACCACAGAACAGTGAACTGAATGCCTGTAGCAGCCTCTTCTCTCCTATTCTCTCAGATATAGCGGTTTGTGCCCACGATCATGTCAGCTGGCATCTGATTGGAATGAGTTCTGGGCCAGAGCTGTTCTCCATCCATTTCAATGGCCAGGTCCTGGAGCAGAGCCACCACAAGGTCTCCGTCCTCAACCTCGCCAGTACGACATCCACTACTGCAAACATGACCATGAGCCCAGAGGGGAAGTGGATCATCTCTTCTTTCATCCCAAAACACTTCCAAGGCAAGGCACTCTTCTGACAGGCTTGCTTCCCTTGCACCAGCACCCCCTTCATCTTTCAAGCCCACCCCACTCCCCGATACACATGCCCTGGTTCCTAACAGAATTTAGATGCTCTGCTTCTAGACGTAGAACCAGGGCTTGGGGATGAAGGAAGTGAAGGAATTGGCAAAGATTTTTTTTTTTTAATGATGCAAAAGCTGAAGAGAGCTCTACTTCCTCGAAAGGAAAAAAAAAAAAAAAAGAGGAAGGAAACAAATGCTACGGAGAGGAATTCTTTCTTGGGGGTTGTCAAATGTAGCCAAAAGGACAGACAGACACCCACAAACTATAGAGGCACCAAGGCTCCAAGAGTGCTAAAATTTTAACATAGAAACCACCCTGTGTCTGAGGAGTGCTGAGTGAATCATGCACAGCCCATATCCCGGGGGTGGCTGTGGAGAATGTCAAGGAAGTAAGGTAGGACTGTGGCATCACGCACACACAACCGCTGGTTGTTCTATTGCACATTTTTGCTTTAAAACTATTAATTGTAGGGATCATGTGTACAGAGACTAAAATCTAAGTAAATGATACCTCTATACAAATCATTTTGTTACCAAACTAACGTGTGTCAGCAACACATGCTAGAAAGAAGTACTCCATGGTATCCTTTGGTTTTCTTTTCACACTGAGCAACTAAAATTATGTTCAAAGTAACAAAATTGCCACAATATCCATGGAAGATACAGTTCCTGATAATAATAAGACAAAAATAGAAATAACATTAATCAAGGATAAGCACCATTCTGTGTCATGATTTAATTGTAAATGACAATTTCATTAACTATGTACTGATGTTTTATCTTCATTTTTCAAAGACAAATAACAGGAAAAATAAGAATTCACAAGATCTAAATTATAGGGTTTGCTTTTACATTTTGTGGTGCTGGGACAGGACACAGGGCTTCCCACATGCCGAGATTTACCACAGAGCTATACCCCTAGCCTTAGTCACAGACTTTAAGGGCTTATAAATTACAAGAAATCTTCCTGCTCCAGAAGAACAAAGGGACTGTTCCCAGGTGTTTCCTCTAGCACTGGTTGTCACTCTTACCTCCTCCCCTCCACTGCTTGGCACTCTTACTTCTGCAGGCCACAGACGGAGTTCCAAACCAAAATGCTCAGAAGTTTGGAAGCCTGAGCATTACTTTCACTGTTATTGTTTAAATTTTCCCCAAATTCATTTTTAAAAATATGTGTTTTTGATCAACAATTTCTTTTCTCATGTTCTTTCCCCATATTTATGTCCTACTACAGCTGGGATGCAGGCTTACATTGACATTAAAAACTGCCCCAAAAAAACCAGGAATCCTAAGAAACTAACCCGAGACCAGAGGCGGCACATCAAGAGGTGGGAATACTTCATTGCTGCAGAGGAAGTCATCTGGGACTATGCACCTATCATACCAGCAAACATGGACAAGTGAGTGCCTGGGGTTTGTTTCACTCTGCAAAGGTTTGAGACCTGTTTTGCAAGGCCCGACATATGTGGGTGAAGTGTCACAGTGGACAGCTTTCCCCAGGGACACGTGTGTTTGTTTCCATTCAGATCTCCTTGTCAAAGACAACCATGCATGACCCCAAACTAACTCAGGGAATTCAGCCCAGTAACAGCAATCACTGTAACAGCAGCCCTTCTGTGAAAACTTGCCAAGCACAGCACTCAATACTTCCTATGAGCTTTACTTCATTCAGTTCTACAAGTTAGGGACTGCTCTTGACTTTTTATAGGAGAGGGATTATGTCAGGGATATTAAGAAATCTGGAAATGTGAATAGCTCTTGAACAATTGAGAAAGACTGAATTCACTCATCATGAGAGAAATGCAAATTAAGCCTCATTGGAATATTGTTTTTTAGCCTATTAGGCTCAGTTCATATGTCAGGCTGTGGAATATAAGTATGGTCATATATTACTGGTAGCAGAATACATTGTTAAAGCCATTCAGGAACTTGGGAAAATGTATCAAATTATAAATACATATATCGCCCTCACAGCCAGCAATCCCACTCTGGGAATTTAGCTATATAGGCCTTCCTGTTCACAGGTAAGATGATGGACATTTAGGGCATTCAGTACTGTTAGCAGTAGCAAAAGATCAAAACAACCCAACTGTCTAGTAACAGGAAGCATGTTTAATAAATTATGATATAATACAATGGAATACTGTGAATCTTCCAAAAGTCAAACAGACAGAAAAGGATGCCAAATGTTCTCTATATGCTAATATAAAAAGTCCTAGAAGATATGTCATTTAAGTTAGAGTCAAGATATAGTACAGAGGAAAAAATAGCCACCTTTTGTTAAGGGAACAGGGAGATAAGAATATTTATATTTGCAAGTAATATCTGCATAAAGATTCTGGAATTACACACATGAAATTAATATGTCAGAAAATTTGGGAAGCATATCAGTTTCACTGTAGTAAAATCATGGGAATATATGAGGAGGCTGATTCATAGCTGGGTAGGGAGGGGGAGCATGGGAGGAATAGATGAATTCTACATAGGGCAGAGGGGTGGGAGGGAAAAGGAGGAGGCAGGGGATTAGCAAGGATGGTGGCATGTGATGGATATCATTATCCAAAGTACATGTATGAAGACACAAATTGGTGTCAACATACTTTATATACAACCAGAGACGTGAAAAATTGTGCTGTATAAGTGTAATAAGAATTGTAATACATTCCACTGTCATTTTTTTCAAATCAATAAAAAAGAAAATAAATAAATAAGTAAAATTAAAAAACAAGAAAAAAATGAAATTTGGCCAGATTTGCAGTAAATAGATGAAGTTGGAGAATATAATGCTAAGAGAAGCAAGCCAATCCTAAAAAACCAAAGGCCAAATGTTTTCTTTGATATGAGGATGCTGACTCATAATGGCGATGGGGGGGCATGGGAGTAGTGGAGGAACTTTAGATAGGGCAAAGGGGAGGGAGGGGAAAGGATGGGGCAAGGGGGTAGGAATGATGGTGGAATGAATTACTCATCACTACCCTCAGTACATGTATGAAGACACGAATGGTGGGGAAATACTTTGTGTACAATCAGTGACTTGAAAAATTGTGCTCTATATGTATAATATGAAATGAATTGCATTCTGACATCATGTATAAGAAATTAGAATAAATAATTTAATCATAAAAAGATCCAGTTATAGAACATTAAATGATATAAATAAATCTCCAATATGTTATTCTTATAAGCCTAAAATTACCATACAACTTCATAATGGAGAACTCCAGCTTGATATAATGCTCTTTTAAAGTTTTTACCTTAAAGACTTGTATACCTGGAAATTATGAACACATTTAATATACAGAGAAGAGTAATAGCACCACAATTACATTGATGGTTTTATATTAACCAAGTTTAGCTTTTAAAGAAATAACATAATACAGTATTCTAAAATAACAGTTGTTGTTTAACCAGTTGTTGTTTAATTTCTTTAAGATTACTTGCTCTAGGACTGGGGTTATGGCTCAGTGGTAGAGTGCTCACCTAGCATGCATGAGGCACTGGGTTCGATCTTCTGCACCACATAAAAATGAAATAAAGATATTGTGTGTTCACCTACAACTAAAAAATAAATATTTTTTTAAAAGATTACTTGCTCTAAAAAAATTTAATAATAAGTTTTTATTTATTTAATATAAAAAACTTACCACAATGTTATGGGTTAAAAAAAAAAATTTGGCCAGGATTATATAATTAGTGACACAACTGAGATAGGAATCTCTGGGCCCCTTTGGCAATAATTAGTGTTTTTCACTGCTCAAAATAAATGCATAAAATTAATACTCTATCATGGAGCATCTGCTTTTGCCAACTAAGGCAGAAAAAAGCATCAGAGGAAAGTGCTTTATTGCTGGCCCTAAATCACTTATCCTGGTGGCTACAGAAGATGGGTGAAGGAGGTCAGTTTTGGGTCTGCACCTGAGATTGGGTGAATAGTGAGAGGGAGAGCCCAAGAGCTCAGAGAGCTATGATTAATAAAGATGGTGAAACTTCCTGGTTAGCAAAGTGCTTTGGGGGACTGAGAAGCACCTGAAAGCCAATCAGGGAATCGTAGACCGAGTGACAGGAAAGACTGAAAAATGTCCTAGTGTGTCCTATCCTTTCCTGCAATGTGGCCCTTTTTCCAGGGGCGTCTAAAGGTCTGCTGCATGAGAATGACAGAAAGGTCTAATCTGGTACCTGGGACTCTACCAGTGGTGGAAGAGACAATTAAGAAGTTTCTAGTTTTCCAACAAGATAGAAGACATCAGGACCTTGCAAACTACAGAAATTTTTAGAGAACTTGCATTTTAGCTAACCCCAAAGCAGAACTTCTAGCACAGGGTTTCCCCATCCTACTGGGTCTGTACTTGAGGAAGTGGTTTAATTTTTCTCTATTATTATTTCATTTCATTCTAAAGAAAATACAGGTCTCTGCACTTGGACAATTTCTCAAATCAAATTGGAAAATATTATAAGAAAGTTGTTTACAAACAGTACCAAGATGAGACCTTCACCAAACGTGTAGAGAATTCCAATATCAAAGAAGAAGGAATTTTGGGCCCTATTATCAGAGCCCAGGTCAGAGATACTCTCAAAGTAAGTAACCTAAAGAACTATGAAAGAAATGAAATGGCAAAAAGAGATCACGGCATGCCTAGTTGTTTATATTTAAAAGAAAAAGGTGCTCATGCAGTTTTTAATTTAAAAATGATTAACACATTTTGCATTTATTTATAATCTTCTCAATAATTCAAAAGTCCTGGGACATATCATCAAGTCACAAATGAATAAAACAAAGAGTGAATGTAGTTGGGTGGAGTATAATGAGAGATCAAAGGGAAAAAAAAGCCACAAATAAGTAAAACAAAATCCATACCATATGATCCTAAGAGACCACATGCAAATTTGGTCCTAAACTTTATGATAGCCAACTAGAAAAGGAAATACGCCAGAGCAAGACTTATGCAACCAATAAAGAACCACAGTTTTCTGATACTGAGACCTAAGAAATTCTGCCCATAGATCCTGCAAGAGAGGGGGCTGTACAATGTGGCAGACAGCATCTTTCACAAAATTCCTACAACTGTTGCAGAATGTAAACTGCTATGCAGGGTCTTTAAAATAATGTATCTCATCTTTAGTCACAGTAAACACAATGGAGTAAAACCAATTCTTTAATATGGTCTAGGTATGTGGTTCTCTAAAGATTGGACTCTGATAAAGGTAAATTGAGATATGGATTAAGAACTTGGAGTTTTCATCGGATAGTTCTTCTTAAATATTAAATCATATCATTGAGATACATAAGAACTGGGCAGCAGGAAATAGAAGGTTTTAATCTTTGGCAAGATCCTAGGATGTAGTAATCCACAGTTTACTGTGGATGATTTAAAGGCTTTGGTTATCAGCCATGCAGAAGATAAGAATAAGACTCTCATTGGAAGGTTAGAAGGCCTCAGCCTATGCTGTTCATTCCTAAACAGCAAAAGAACAAAAATATTCCTCACTTCTCCCCTTCCTCATTTCTGGTTCCTTCTTGGTACTCTACTAGGTATAAATATGCCTCACTGGGAATTCAAGGTCTGGCTATTTGTACCCTTCAGGAAGATGGCTTTAATGACAGTGGTCCTAGGAGATCTAGCAAGAGAGGGACCATGGCCTAGAGATGAGAAGGACCAGGTCTGAAATGAGGTGTGATCCAAACTAAAAGGAGACCAGGAACCAGGTGGAGAGCAGCTTGCAGAGGGTGATACACTAGGAGGAAAAATGTAATCTCTCCCAGGATGTCCTCTAAGGTCTTCCACTTAATATGAGTGTGAACTTCTCAAAGCCTCTTGCCACATTTCGGGAGAGGTTGTTGCTCAGATAAACGAACTAATTTTCTCCTGTGCATGTATAGGCACATGTGTGCACCTCAACAATTTTTCAAACAAAATTAGAAAATATTATAAGAAAGTCATTTACAAAGGGCACCAAGATGAGACCTCCACCAAATGCAAGGAGAATTCCATACCAAAAAAGAAAAAATTGGGGGTCCTATTATCAGAGCACATGCACACATACACGGTAAATCTGCAAAGATGACGTCATCCTTTATTAGTTCTCCTGAGTGACCTTAAACACTGAAGAAATAAATCTAACCTTGTAGATCGTGTTCAAAAATATGGCCAGCCGAGTCTACAGTATTTACCCTCATGGAGTGACCTTCTCTCCATATGAAGATGAAGTCAACTCTTCTTACACCTCAGGTTAGAATCTTTCACTTCTACTGAAAGAACTAGTGGCCTCTGAGAGGCTTCCATATTTTTCTATTGCGCTCCTTGCCCCGTAGTATAACTAGTACAGTTAATTGTTTACACACAGGGAGATCCTATGAATCACACCCAGATCTTTCTCACTTCAGGCAATTTGTCTGTAGTAACAGCACAACATGGTAACCATTATTAATGTCATGGCGGCCCCTAGTGGAACAACACTGGATGGCTACATGCTAGTCAGAATTCCAGTAGTGTTTCACGAATGGTAAAAAAAAATATCGCCCCCCTCCCCATTATTAATTGGTTCTGATGAGAGTTAAAATATTTGGTGTTTTCTGTTCATTATAATGAAATCATTTTCTATTTGAAAACGAAACTGAAGGCACTTTCTTTCAGGTAGTCGCACCATGATCAGAGCAGTTCAACCAGGAGAAACCTATACTTACAAGTGGAACATCCTAGAGATCGACGAACCCACAGAAAATGATGCCCAGTGCTTAACAAGACCTTACTACAGTGATGTGGACGTTACAAGGGACATTGCCTCTGGGCTTATAGGGCTCCTTCTAATTTGTAAGAGCAGATCCCTGGACAAGAGAGGCATACAGGTATTTTGTCTGTGAGGTAACCCCTCGGAAATTCTGGGAGTTTCTTCTGGATGAAACAAGCTAGATGTCCTTGCTAAATAAGTGGGTTTCCTTCTACAGAACAGTAATTTCCATATAATTTTCTTTAGCATGTGAGTGATGACATTTACCATTTTGGTTATTATTTTTTTATTTTCTGTTACATGTGGACTCTGACTGCACAAGGCAAATTTATAGTGTGATATCACATTTTGTCTTAGTTTCAAACCCCATGTCTGTTAGTGAGGAAGTCACTTAACTTTTACTAATTTCTTCCTTTTATCAAATGGGCAATACCCCCGCTAAAAATTTCACAGAGAGGCTTGGGAGCTCAGCGATATATCACCTGGTAAAGTAGAAAGCTTAGCACCCACCTTTTTTCATTTCTAGAGACCCACAAAAGAGTGACAGGAAAGACTCCGTGAAAGCAGGTGCACTTGGAGACACCATTTCTAGTGAAGCTGTACCAGACAGTGGTCTTTCCCTGGTGAAACTTAATTACACAGAAGAATGTGATCAGAGTTGGTTTTCCAAGCTTATCTTCACTGAAAATCAATATCTCAAAGCAATAACCTAAAATTCCCACTTAGGCTTAGTAACGGTAAAAGAGGCGCCATCCCAAGGCATACTGGAAAAATAGATGCCTGGGAAAAATCAGAAATAGATACTTGGAAGATCCTGATATGTTAAGCAGGTGGGAAGAGGTAGGAGAGACATGAGCCTTCCCTGCTGAACCCTTCTGTTTTGGCCTCTGCTACTATTCGGAACACACGTATCAATCACACTTGAAAGGTGTTCAGTTAAGAGGTAAGTAGACATGCAGCTGCCATGGTGAAAGTGCGATTTTTCCTCTGGGATATTTTAGTCTCTGAATTTTAGACTCTGCTCTTTGAGTTTGCATACTAGCTTATTATTAGCTCTGACAAACTTGGTACAAAATAGGCTCTCAGTGCCTTGAACTGAGCAGTCCCCAGGGCAGCGCCCCTCTGGTGTCTGAAGAACTTGGTATTCTAGATAGTCAGCAGGAGCATTTGTCTCTGAACACAGCCCTTTCACCTTCCAGAAAGCGGCAGACATTGAGCAACAGGCTGTGTTTGCAGTGTTCGATGAGAACAAGAGCTGGTACATTGAAGACAACATCAACAAATTCTGTGAAAATCCTGATGAGGTGAAACGCGACGACCCCAGGTTCTATCAGTCCAACATCATGAGCAGTAAGTCGGGGCACTGTTTCTGTCCACCAGGTTCTAACTCCTGTGGTGGAAGTAAGCCTGTGACTAGAGGCCGAGACAGGGGTGTGAATACATGCACTGAAAAGCAGTTCTCTTATCCTTACTTCAAATTCAAGGACTTGGTGACAAAACCCTGGGGTGATAGAGTGCTTATGTAAGCACTGGGCTCAATCTTCAGTACCACGTAAAAACAAATAAATAAAAAAGGTGTTGTGTCAGTCTACAACTTTTATTTATTTATAAAAGAAAAGCTGGGATGATGTCATTGCAGCCAAGGCTTGTTATGTTTTAAGCAAGAAGTCAAAGGCTCGTCATCCTAGGCACTTCTTGGTCTACTACTCCTAATGTGTATTTGTGTGTGTGTGTGCCTGTGCATATGTATGAATGCATGTGTGTGCATGTGTGCACACGTGTGTGTGGGTAGATGTGTGTGCACATGCCCTGGGCAGTGAGGAAGGAAGCAGGGAAGGTGCTACAGGCCCTGCTCAATGGTATCTTGGAACTTTACTCTTGTGCAGGGTGAATGCTCCTTATTTAAGGTCAGGGTGGAAACAAGATAGGTAATCCAAAACTGGATTGTCAAGTCAAAATAAAGCAAAATGAGTCTGGGGACCCAAAAGTCTGGGAAAGGCAATGCATGAAGAGGTTTTAAGGGAGCAGTACAAAGTTCAAAGCAGAAGGAATTCCCTGAGCTGGGGTTCGGCCATTTGCTGCACTTCCAAAGTTCACCGCCATGGGGAATCTGAGAGAACTTTCACTGAGGCAGCTAGAAGCAGACTTCTCCACAATAGACAGGGTCTCTTTTGTGCCTCAGAGTCAAGAGTCACCTTCTCTGATACTCTAACTCTGAGGATGAATTCTCCAAGGGCTGTTCACATAGCTCCAAATGACTGACTATTGGGGATTACCAGAACTGACAGATAACATGACAAATCATTCTAAATGGAAGTTATTCTCAGCTTTCTTCATATAATTTCATTTCAGCAGTGAATATAGACCAATTCTATCCAATAAAAATTACATATGAGTTACATATGTAATTTAAAATTTTCTGGTAGCCACATAAGAAGGAAAAGAGAAATAAGTGATATTAATTTTAATAATGTATTTTATTCAACCTACTGTATTCTAGACATTATCACCTCAAAATACAATCAATAAAAAATTAATAAGATTTTTGTCTTTGAAATCCAGCATATATTTTATTTTTATAGCACATGTTTTTCTACCACATTTCAAGTGTCCAATAGCCACTGTAGCCAGAGGCCACCATATTGGACAGTGTAGATATGGACCATACACAACCATCTAAAACAGGGTACGAACTAATAACATATATGTCAGTGGTTCAACATGTATGTGTTAAGTGCCCACTTGAAAGTTTGATCAGTGTCAGGCATTGTGCCAGTACTACAAGTACAGTAACAATCTAAGCAGACGTATGTCCTCTACTCACAGAAACTAGATCTTTGATTTGATTACCATGCTTAGTACTTAAGAAAAAAAGATGTTGCATAAAGCAGAAAATTATTAACTCAATACTTGAATGAAAATTGTAACTTATACAGATGAGATTAGATGACAATAAGAATGACAAAATATGCTGAACAGACTCTTTTAGGGGGACATTCGTTTTTACTCAATGACCCATATTTCAAGAAGATGAATTTCTTATATTGTTATCCTAGGTAGAATTATCCTGGACAGTATTCTAAATTGACCTCCAAGACAAAGCACAGTACATAAAATATCTACTATACATTTGACAAATGAATGAAAGACATTGTCGTTATCCTGGTATCACTCACTTAGCTAACTTAGAGTAAGCTCCCCTGGGGAAGTCTTCATTTGACCTTCTAGCCACATTAGACCTGGGAAATGTTATCTTGAATGACCACTGCTTCGACACAACCAGATGGACTTAAACAGAATGAGATGCCTGCCCTTTGGGTGTTCTAATAGCCCTCACTCTTTCAGCTATCAACGGTTATGTGCCTGAAAGCATACCTACTCTAGGATTCTGCTTTGATGACACTGTCCAGTGGCACTTCTGCAGTGTGGGGACCCAGGATGATATTCTGACCCTTCATTTCACTGGTCACTCATTCATCTATGGAAAAAGGCACGAGGATACCTTGACCCTCTTCCCTATGCGCGGAGAATCTGTGACTGTCACAATGGATAATGTTGGTGAGTAAGAGCGTGGACCCTTGGAGAGAAAGCTGACTTTGGATCTGCTGAAGCTCCCCATATGACCACCACTGGTGGGTCCATTTCCCTGACCTCTGCAGGCTATCCTTCCACTGCTTCTTCAGTTTCCATCTGGGAAGTTAATGACTTAAATAGGTTCAGTCCTTTCATTTGGGTTTCATTGATACAATCTCTGGGCCAAGTGGGAAGTAAAGACACACCACAGCAAAAGGATACAGCCTAACCCTGAGGAAGAAGCACAAATATTTCAGCCTCAGAGGAGCATTTCCTTTTATCAAAATGCACTTATCAACTTTTTAAGACTGCCATGCTACCCGGGGTCAGCAGTTATCAGATACAGTGCTTTCAAGGCTGCCTTGGGACAGCATTGGTATGTGAGACCTGACTTCCAATCCTGCTGTGCCACTCCATCTTTTATAACCTTGGACAAGTTATTTGGCCTTCCTGAACTTCAAATTATTCATCTGAAAGACAGTGTAATAACGCCCTAAAAAGCCACATCAGCCATGGGTTGTTGTATGCACCAAGCGCCTGGCACTCCACAAGTCATGACTGTTGGAGACATCCAGGAAATCTCAAGTGTGTCAGCAATTTGTGCCATTTCAGAGACTCAAATTTGCCCTGGCCCCACCCAAATGATTTATTAGAGATGCCTAAATATGCCTTGTTTGTTGGAGTAGACCTCATCATCACCCCCTAAATCCAACTCTTAAACAAAATGCAGAGCTAATAGGATGTTAATGATATTCAAATCCATTTTATTCTTTTTTTTTCTCCTAATTTTCCTGGCATCTTTTTTTTTATTGGTTGTTCAAAACATTACAAAGCTCTTGACATATCATATTTCATACATTCGATTCAAGTGGGTTATGAACTCCCATTTTTACCCCAAATACAGATTGCAGATCACATCGATTACACATCCACATTTTTACATATTGCCATATTAGTAACTGTTGTATTCTGCTACCTTCCCTATCCTCTACTATCCCCCCCTCCCCTCCCCTCCCATCTTCTCTCTCTACCCCATCTGTTGTAATTTAATTCTTTCCCTTGTTTTTTTTCCCTTCCCCCTCACAACCTCTTATACATAATTTTGTATAACAATGAGGGTCTCCTTCCATTTCCATGCAATTTCCCTTTTCTCTCCCTTTCCCTCTCACCTCATGTCTTTGTTTAATGTTAATCTTTTCCTCCTGCTCTTCCTCTCTGCTCTGTTCTTAGTTGCTCTCATTATATCAAAGAAGACATTTGGCATTTGTTTTTTAGGGATTGGCTAGCTTCACTTAGCATAATCTGCTCCAATGCCATTCATTTCCCTGCAAATTCCATGATTTTGTCATTTTTTAGAGCTGCATAATACTCCATGGTGTATAAATGCCACATTTTTTTTATCCATTCATCTATTGAAGGGCATCTGGGTTGGTTCCACAGTCTTGCTATTGTGAATTGTGCTGCTATGAACATCGATGTGGCAGTATCCCTGTAGTACGCTCTTTTAAGGTCTTCAGGGAATAGTCCGAGAAGGGCAATAGCTGGGTCAAATGGTGGTTCCATTCCCAGCTTTCCCAGGAATCTCCATACTGCTTTCCAAATTGGCCGCACCAATTTGCAGTCCCACCAGCAATGTACAAGTGTACCCTTTTCCCCACATCCTCGCCAGCACTTGTTGTTGTTTGACTTCATAATGGCTGCTAATCTTACTGGAGTGAGATGGTATCTCAGGGTGGTTTTGATTTGCATTTCTCTGACTGCTAGAGATGGTGAGCATTTTTTCATGTACTTGTTGATTGATTGTATGTCGTCCTCTGAGAAGTGTCTGTTCAGGTCTTTGGCCCATTTGTTGATTGGGTTATTTGTTATCTTATTGTTTAATTTTTTGAGTTCTTTGTATACTCTGGATATTAGGGCTCTATCTGAAGTGTGAGGAGTAAAAATTTGTTCCCAGGATGTAGGCTCCCTATTTACCTCTCTTATTGTTTCTCTTGCTGAGAAAAAACTTTTTAGTTTGAGTAAGTCCCATTTGTTGATTCTAGTTATTAACTCTTGTGCTATGGGTGTCCTATTTAGGAATTTGGAGCCCGACCCCACAATATGTAGATCGGAGCCAACTTTTTCTTCTATCAGGCACAGGGTCTTTGATTTGATATCAAGCTCTTTGATCCATTTTGAGTTAACTTTTGTGCATGGCGAGAGAAAGGGATTCAGTTTCATTTTGTTGCATATGGATTTCCAGTTTTCCCAGCACCATTTGTTGAAGATGCTATCCTTCCTCCATTGCAGGCTTTTAGCCCCTTTATCAAATATAAGAAAGTTGTAATTTTGTGGATTGGTCTCTGTGTCCTCTATTCTGTACCATTGGTCCACCCGCCTGTTTTGGTACCAGTACCATGCTGTTTTTGTTACTATTGCTCTGTAATATAGTTTGAAATCTGGTATCGCTATACCACCTGATTCACACTTCCTGCTTAGAATTGCTTTTGCTATTCTGGGTCTTTTGTTTTTCCATATGAATTTCATGATTGCTTTATCTATTTCTACAAGAAATACCGTTGGGATTTTGATTGGCACTGCATTAAACTTACAGAGAACTTTGGGTAATATCGCCATTTTGATGATGTTAGTTCTTCCTATCCACGAACAGGGTATATTTTTCCATCTTCTAAGGTCTTCTTCTATTTCTCTCTTTAGGGTTCTGTAGTTTTCATTGTATAAATCTTTCACCTCTTTTGTTAGGTTGATTCCCAAGTATTTTATTTTATTTTTTTTGAGGATATTGTGAATGGGGTGGTTGTCCTCATTTCCATTTCAGAAGATTTGTCACTGATATACAGGAATGCCTTTGATTTATGCGTGTTGATTTTATATCCTGCCACATTGCTGAATTCACTTATTAGCTCTAGTAGTTTTTTGTAGACCCTTTTGGGTCTGTTAGATATAATATCATATCATCTGCAAATAGTGATGATTTAAGCTCTTCTTTTCCTATTTTTATGCCTTTAATTTCTTTTGTCTGTCTAATTGCTCTGGCTAGTATTTCGAGGACTAAATTGAATAGAAGTGGTGAGAGAGGGCATCCCTGTCTTGTTCCAGATTTTAGAGGGAATGCCTTCAGTTTTTCTCCATTCATAATGATGCTAGCCTGAGGCTTAGCATATATAGCTTTTACAATGTTAAGGTAAGTTCCTGTTATCCCTAGTTTTTCTAGTGTTTTGAACATAAAGGGATGCTGAACTTTGTCGAATGCTTTTTCTGCATCTATCAAGATGATCATGTGGTTCTTATGGTTAAGTCTATTGATGTGGTGAATAACATTTATTGATTTCCGTATATTGAACCAGCCTTGCATCCCAGGGATGAATCCTACTTGATCATGGTGCACAATTTTTTTGATATGCTTTTGTATTCAATTCGCCAGGATTTTATTGAGGATTTTTACATCTTTGTTCATTAGAGATATTGGTCTGTAGTTTTCTTTCTTTGAAGTGTCTTTGTCTGGTTTCGGGATCAGGGTGATGTTTGCCTCATAGAATTAATTTTGAAGAGCTCCTTCTTTTTCTATTTCTTGAAATAACTTGAAAAGTATTGGTATTAATTCTTCTTTGAAGGTTTTGTAAAACTCTGCTGTATATCCATCCGGTCCAGGGCTTTTCTTGGTTGGTAGTCTTTTGATGGCTTCTTCTATTTCCTCCTTTGTTATTGGTCTGTTTAAATTGTGTGTATCTTCCTGAGTCAATCTGGGCAAATCATATGACTTAAGGAATTTATCGATATCTTCGCTATCTTCTATTTTATTGGAATATAGGGTTTCAAAATAATTTCTAATTATCTTCTGTATTTCTGTAGTGTCCGTTGTGATATTGCCTTTTTCATCCCATATGTTAGTAATTTGAGCTCTCTCTCTTCTTCTCTTCATTAGCATGGCTAAGGATCTGTCGATCTTATTTATTTTTTCAAAGAACCAACTTTTAGTTTTATCAATTTTTTCAAAGGTTTTTTTTGTTTCAATTTCGTTGATTTCCACTCTGATTTTAATTATTTCTTGCCTTCTACTACATTTGTTGTTGTTTTGCTCTTCATTTCCTAGGGTTTTGAGATGAAGTGTGAGTTCATTTATTTGTTGTTTTTTTCTTTTTTTGAGGAATGAACTCCAGGAAATGAATTTCCCTCTTAAAACTGCTTTCATTGTGTCCCATAGATTCCGATATGTTGTGTCTGTGTTTTCATTTATCTCCAAGAATTTTTTGATTTCCTCCTTTATGTCTTTTGTAACCCATTGATCATTCAGTAACATATTGTTCATTTTCCAGGTGATGCAGGATTTTTTCTTCCTTCTTTTATCATTGATTTCCAGTTTCATTCCATTATGATCAGATAAAATGCATGGTATTATCTCCACACCTTTATATTTACTAAGAGTTGCCCTATGGCATAATATATGGTCTATCTTTGAGAAGGATCCATGTGCTGCTGAGAAGAACGTGTATCCACTTGATGATTGTTGATATATTCTATATATGTCGGTTAAGTCTAGGTTATTGATTGTGTTATTGAGTTCTATAGTTTCTTTATTCAGCTTTTGACTGGAAGATCTGTCCAATGGAGAGAGCGGTGTGTTGAAGTCACCCATAATTACTGTGTTGTGGTCTATTTGACTCTTGAACTTGAGGAGAGTTTGTTTTATGAACGTTGCAGCACCATTGTTTGGTGCATACATATTGATAATTGTTATGTCTTGTTGGTGGATGATTCCTTTTAACAGTATATAGTGTCCTTCTTTATCCCTTTTGATTAACTTAGGTTTGAAGTTGATTTTATTTGATATGAGTATGGCCACTCCTGCTTGCTTCCGAGAACCATGTGAGTGGTATGATCTTTCCCAACCTTTCACCTTCAGCCTGTGTATGTCTTTTCCTATCATATGAGTCTCCTGAAGGCAGCATATTGTTGGATTTGTTTTTTTAATCCAGGTTACTAGCCTATGTCTCTTGATTGGTGAATTTAAGCCATTAACGTTTAAGGTTACTAGTAATATATGGTTTGTATTTCCCGTCATGCTTGTTTATTTATTTATTTTAATATGGCTAGTTTTTCCTTTTTGGTTATTTTTTTCCTTCCCTTTACTGAGTTACCTCCCACTGTTAGTTTTGGGTGCTGTTTTTCAATTCCTCTTCTTGTAGTGTTTTGCTCAAAATGCCTTGCAGTGCTGGTTTTCTGGCTGTGAATTCTTTTAACTTTTGTTTATCGTGAAATATTTTAACTTCATTGTCAAATCTGAAGCTTAATTTTGCTGGATACAGTATTCTTGGTTGGAATCCATTATTTTTCAGCATTTGAAATACGTTGTTCCAGGATCTTCTCGCTTTCAACGTCTGTGATGAAAAATCAGACGTTAACCTAATTGGTTTACCCCTGAATGTAATCTGCCTCCTTTCTCTTATAGCTTTTAATATTCTCTCCTTGTTCTGTATGTTGGATATCTTCATAATTATGTGTCTTGGAGTTGGTCTATTATGGTTTTGAATGTTTTGGGTCCTGTTGGCTTCCAGGATTTGGCAATCCATTCCATCTTTCATATCTGGGAAGTTTTCTAGGATTATTTCATTCAATATATTGTCCATTCCTTTGGTTTGAACCTCTATACCTTCTTCTATCCCAATGACTCTCAAGTTTGGTTTTTTTATGACATCCCATATCTCTTGGATAGATTGCTCATGAATTTTAAGCATCCTTTCTGTGTTGACTATATTCTTTTCACGTTGATAAACTTTGTCTTCATTATCTGATGTTCTGATTTCTACTTGATCTAGTTTATTTGTAATATTCTTGTTTGAGTTTTTAATTTGGTTTATGGTTTCCTGCATTTCTAGGATTACTGTTTGATTTTTTTTTTTTTAAATCTCTATCTCCTGGTAGAGCTCGTTCTTTGCCATTTGAATTTGTTTATTTAATTCATTTTCAAAATATACTTTCATAGTTTGGACTTGCTGTCTAATGTCTTCTCTAAGATTCCGTTCCATCTGAGTTAGGTATGCCTTGAGTTCTTTCTCTGTCCATTTTTCTGATGCCTCTAGGTTCTCCTGTGTATTTAAGTTGTCCTGCATTGTTTGTAATCCTTTTTTCCCTTGTTTTTTCATGGTGCTCAAGTTACTTTCCAACTCTGTTTGACTGCTGTGTTTCTGTTTTTTCCTTTAAATTTGTTTTGGTTTTTATAGTTCCACTATCTCTCCTTTGTGTTAGGAGACAATGTTTAGAGATGTTGGATTTAATTATGATTTAAGGTAAATTCATTAGTTTCATTAAAGGCCTTCAGATTTTGATGGCATATAGAGAATTGAGGTTTGGACTTAGGATTTTATGTTAAGGTCGGGCAATTTGATGGTATGGAGGTTAGTATATGTTAGCTTCTTTGGGGGGTTGCTCAAATGCAGGCGGATATTAACAAGAGAATAGACAGGAGTACTTGGGGGTGGTTAAGGGCTTAGGCAGTCTATAGACCTATTCGTAGTATTCATCTATCTGCATTTAGTAAGTTATATGTAATCTGGGTGTTCATGCTTAAGAGGAAAGATGGGGAAAAGGTAAGGACGCAAACCAAGAAAGAGAGAGGGAGAGAAGAAAGAGAAAAGAATAGAAATGATTAAAAAATAATAATAATAAAATGCAGTAAAATAAAAATTACAATTGAAAAAAATTACAATTGAAAAAAAATAATTAAAAGAAAAAAAATTTAAAATTAAAAAATTAAAGAATTAAAAAAATGAAACAAGAAAAAAAAAGCACTGTTAGGCTTCTATTTTCTTCGCTTTCAGTAGGTGGTGCTGTGCCTTCCAGGCCAAGATTTTGCCCTCTGGCTGTAGGATACAATCCCCCCCCCCTCTCAAAAACCTGTTAGCTTAGGTTTATTCCTGGCCTCTAGTCCCCTGGCTTCTCCTGCTAGCCAGGCCTTCCCCAGTGTGATGCCTCTCGGCAGTTCAAACTATACTCTGGGCCTGCAGTTTGCTGGGTGTGGAGCGAGGCTATTGGGAACCGGCACCTTATTGTTTGATTCCTTCCGCTTGCCACTCCCCCAGAGCTGGCAAGACAGGTTTCGTTTTCCCTGCTGATGGGTGGGGGAGTTGGAGGTCAGGTGCCTTTACCTTTCCCCACGCCTCTATTCTCGCTCACTCTGATAATCCCTCCCCCGGAAAGCTGGGGAGAGATTTTATGCGAATTCCCCGCTGTGTGGGAAATGGGCTGAATAACACACACCTGTTCTATTGCTGCGATCTGTCGGAAACTGGCGATGGTGACGTCAGCTCTCCAAGATGGTGGCCGCTGGCTTCCTTAGTAGACTGTCCGGTGTGGGGGACAAAACTGGACCGCTTCCTTCCCCCTCTCAAACCCCGAACTCAGCCTGGAGCTCAGTGAGGGCACAGCCGGCAGGACTCCACAGAATCCGTAGCACCGTATCTCTGCGTTGCTGGCCGCTTCTCTGCGCCCCGCCGTCTCTAGCCGTGGGGTGGGCCGTGGATCAATCAGCCTGGATCTCCGGCCGCACAGTTCACTCGCGGTTGAGACCCAGTAACCGGTCCTCGGTGATGGAAATCCTTCCTCTAGGTTTCGGTGCACCCCAATTTTGCTGGAAATTCCTAACAAGATAGCTTTTGGTCATTCTAACTCGTTATTCACCTGCGCAGTGACGCGGTACACGGGGGTGATGCACTCTATTCGCCGCCATCTTCCTCCTGGCATCTTTGTGTAAACTAGTGGTGATGTTCACTGACATTTCATGTAGGAACATTCGTTTTTTCACTGCCAAAGATGTTCTTTTCAATTACGAATGCTTCCTTGAGAGCTGCAGAGAATCGCTGGGTCTTCCAGGACTTTTGTTGTCTTCTCCCATTTTATTCTTGATCCACCCCTTTGTTAATAATAGTGACTCTAGCAATATCTGTGCTGAAGAGCTTTTTTCCCTCCCTAATCTCCACTAATATTTTTTAGTCTATATTCTGTTAAACAAGATAAGTACATATATCGTGTCCTTGGATGCCACGGCAATGCTAAATTGCTTTAACATTTTTTTTCTAAATATGCTATTCTCGGTTTATTTCCTATGTTATCATGACCAATAATCCAGTTCACAGACTGGAAGTGGTCCATCAACCACACTGAGGCATTCCCAGCTAAAGTTCACTAGAAAGAACTTGCTACAGTGAACCCAGGTGTTTTAATATCTTTTCCTGCACCTTCAGCCTTCTCTTCTCTCTCTCTCTTCTAAAGGAACTTGGATGCTAACTACCATGAACTCCAATCCAAGAAGCAAAAACCTCAAGCTGAGATTCAGGGATGTTAAATGTATCCGGGATGATGATGACGACTCATATGATTTCTATGAACCTATAGCACCTACAGTCATGGGTACACGCAAAATGCATGATTCTTCAGAAAATGAACAAGAAGAAGACAACCCTGACTATGATTATCAGGATAAACTGGCTTCAGAGTTTGGAATCAGGTCATTCAGAAACTCATCACTGAATCAGGAAGAGGATGAGTTCAACCTTACTGCCCTTGCTCTGGAGGACAGCTCCGAGTTCATTTTCCCAAGTAGAGATACAGCTATTGACTCAAATTCTTCTTCCCCAAGTAACATTAGTAGGCTCATAGCTAATAACCTCACAGAACCTCAGAAAACCCTTCCTCACCCAGGAGCCACAAGAGTTGATCCTCCGAGGGGTTACCTTGTTGGCTTAGGTGAGAACTCAGTTATCAACCCTTCCATGACAGAGCATTCCAGCCCATATTCTGAAGACCCTCTAGAGGATCCTCTGCAGTCAGATGTCACAGGGATAAGCCTGCTTCCACCTGGGGCAAAAGGACTGAGAAGTCCAGAGAGAGACCGAGTAGCAAAGCACAGGTTCTCCTGGATGAAATTACCAGCCTACAAATTTGGGAGGCATTTAAACCATGGCAACACTTCTTCCAAAAGGAAACCCTGGAAGGAACTTCCTAGTGAGCCCTTACTCTTAAAACAAAAGAATCCATCCAAGACTTTGAATGGGAAATGGCATTTGGTTTCTGAAAAGGGTAGCTATGAAATAATTCAAGACACTGATGAAGATGTGGCTGTTAGTAAGCTGCCAAACAACCCCCAGAATGTCTCAGGGATGTGGGGAGGAAGCATCTCTCCTATAGACAAACCTAACAAGCCTAGTGACCACCCAAAGTTTCCTGGAGTTAGACATAAATCCTTACAGATAAGACAGGATGGAGGAAATAGTGGGCTGAAGACAAGACCATTTCTCATCAGAACACGAAAAAAGAAAAAGGAAGAGAAGCTTGCATACCATGTTCCTCTCTCTCCAAGAGGATTTAATCCTCTAAGAGGAAAGTCCTACAACACATTTTCAGAAAGGATATTTGATCATTCATTGTTACCCCCCAAATCCAATGAAACATCTCTTCTTGAAGAACTTAATCAGACATCCACATCTGTCAATTTTGGCTGGACAGTCTCACTTCTTGACCATAATCAAAACACTACAAACAATACTAGCCAGACAAGCTACCATCTAGATCTTTCTCAGACAGTGACCCCAGAAGAGCACTATCACACATTTCCTATCCAAGATCCTGATGGAACACACTCTACTGCAGACCCCAGTCACAGGTCCTCTCCTCCAGAGCTCAGCCAGATGCTTGATTATGACCTGAGCCATGAGTTCCACCCTACTGACATGGGTCACATGTCCCCTTCATTGGAACCTGAAGGCTGGCAGACAACTCTCTCTCCAGATCCCAATTACCCATTCCTCTATTCAGACCAAGGTCAGATGACCTCCTCCTCCCCAAACCTCAGCCAGACAACCCCTTCCCCAGACCTCAGCAAGACAACCCCTTCCCCAGACCTCAGCCAAACAGCTGTACCTCTAGTCCTTTATCAGATGCCCCCTTCCCCAGACCTTAGCCAGACAACACCCTCCCTAGACCTAGGCCAGAGGACCCTCTCTAAAGAACTTGGTCAGACAAGCCTGGACCCAGATGAGGGTCAGATAACTCTCTCACCAGAACTTGGTCAGATAAATCTGGATCCAGATCTGGATGGAATGACCCTCTCACCAGAACTTGGTCAGACAAACTTGGACCCATATGGGGGTCAGGTGGCCCTTTCTCCAGAACTTGGTCAGACAAACCTGGACCCAGATGAGGATCAGATAACTCTCTCACCAGAACTTGGTCAGATAAATCTGGACCCAGATGGGGGTCAGATGCCCCTTTCCCCAGGCCTCAGCCAGGTGACTCTCTCTCCAGACCTGGGTCAGACAATCCATCTTCCTAAACTCAGTCCAACACTGCCTCCTCCAGATCTTGATCATACAGCTTACCCTTCTGAGTCTAACCAGTTGTTGCCTCTTTCAGAATTCAGTCAGACCTTTCCTTATCCAGACTCTGTGCACATGCCATCTCCTCTGCCATCTCCAACACTCGGTGATGCTTTTGTATCCGAGGAATTTAATCCACTGGTTGTAGTGGGCCTTAGTGGAGATGATGGAGATTACATTGAGATCATTCCAAGGAAGGAAGTCCAAAGCAGTGAAGAAGACTATGTTGAAGTGGAGTATGTCGCCTATGATGACCCTTACCAAACTGATACTAGGACAGACATCAACTCTTCCAGAAACCCTGACAGCATTGCAGCATGGTACCTCCGCAGCAACAATGGAAACAGAAAATATTATTATATTGCTGCTGAAGAAATATCCTGGGATTATTCAAAATTTGCACAAAGGTTTGACTAGTTTTCTCCTTCTATATTCTCACTCTTTAACTACTGATTGAAAAAAAGGAGCTCCAGTAGTGTGGGAAGATAATTTTGGGCAAATGACATTTATCAATATTTTGTAATATTTTCTTTATCAATCCAAAATTAGTTTCTCTACTTTAGATATTACCTGGACAATATTAGGAACAGTCACTGTGGGATGTCTATGATATTCTAGAGGTAAATAAGCCTCATCCTGTCTCCTCTTCTCTTACCATACGTGTTCTTACCCCCTCTTCTTGCTCCAGTGCAGTTTCATCTATTCATAGCTATCAGCTAATCATTATGATTTAATTGAAGTTGGCTTCAAATCCAAGTTCTGATGCAGAAATCTCCTTTCTCATTTACTTGTTTACAACACAGAGTTTATAAAGGATCCATGCATTTTCTTAAAAGATCATTTTCAATTCAGTATTGCTTAGGGTAGAAAGCCATATTGGGCTGGGCTCTATATTCTAGGATGAAGATACAAAGAGAGAAGAGAGAGGAGGAAAGGAGCAAGGCTTACTCAACTACAGATTCTCAGGGATACCACAGGGTGACTGTGCATAAACTGTCTGGAAGTAGCTCATGACTCTTACAAAGCTACCTGTTACACTAATTAATTAAAAACAAAGTGTAATTAGAGTATGTAAACACAATGTATAGTATGACTTGGGAACATTAGCCCATTAATCTGATGCCTGACATTTCCACATTAGAACTCTGTTTAAAATACTTTCTCCATGACTTCCTACTGAAAGGTAGCACCCATTACTCTATGGGAACAACCAGTTGTCCGAGGAGTTCTGAGGAAGACCCTGAGGGGATAGCTCTCAGGATCTGTGCAGAGTGGAAAGGGAAGGAATCAGCTCCTTCAAAATCGTGGGTCCCACTCAAGGCCTACAACCCACTTTTATGGCAAAGTTGTTTTGCCTACTCTGTGTGTTCTTTGAGATTGTGTTCTATGCTCAGAGTTGTATGGCTAAGGGGAAAAATACTGGAAAGAAGGCAGACTAAGATTTTATGTTGATGGTTATGGAATATAACAAATATGATGGGCTTGACAGACGAGCTTTTGACTTATTTCCTTAGGCTTGGGAGATTTGAGAATCAGTGGGAAAATTTGACATCTACTGGCCCCAGACTGAGCTGATGAAAATACATGGAGAATAATGACCTGTATTTACATTTTTAATTAAACGTTTTATGTGATGATTGTAGATTCATAGGTAGTTACGAGAAACAATACAGAGTCCTTATATCATTTCCCTGTTTTTCCCAGTGGTAATATCTTGCAAAACTATAATCTTCCATCACAATCAGTATACGGACATCAATACTGTGAGGATGTAGAACATTCCATCATCTCAGAAGTTCCTCTTGCTGCCTTTTTGTAGTTATGTCTAGTTCCTTCCTACCACCTCCTGTCTGCTGACAACTCTACGCTGGACTCTATTCTGTAATTTTTTGTCATTTCAAGAATATTACATAAATGCAACATATAATTCTCCAGAGATTCATCCAGGTTTTTGCATGCATCGGTAGTTCATGCTATTGCTGAGTAGTGTTCCATAAGATGTGCTGTGCCACAGTTTTTTGTTGTTTGTATATATTTAAGGTATAGGACATGATGTTTCTCTATATATGTAAATTTGAAATATCTCAGTCTGGCTAATTTACTTTTGCAATACCTCACATACTTACTTTTTGTGATGAGAATACTTAAAATCCACTCAGTGATTTTTAAGAGTACACTACACTGTTATTAACCATAGTCATCATGTTGTGCAATAGACCTCCTGAAATGAAAGTATTCTTCCCAACAAATGAAATTGTGTATCTTTTGACCAACATCTTTCCTTCTTCAAAGTCTCTGATAACTACCATTCTGTTCTCTAGTTTAATGTTTTCAGATTCCTTATATAATTGAGATCATATGGTATTTGTGTGCTGTGCTGGCTTATTTCATTTCACACAATGCCCTCCACATTCATCCATGTTGTTGAAAATACATAATTTCCTACTTTTTAAAGTTTATGGTGCTCCATTGTGGATATATGCCATGTTGTCTTTGTCCATTCACCCACTGGTGGGCACTTAGGTTCATTCCACATCCTGGCTGTTGTGGACAGTGACTCAGTGAATGTGGAGTGCAGGGGTCTCTCTTCATTTTCTTTGGATACATGCCTAGAAGTAACACTGCTGGGCATGGAGTAGTTCTATTTTTAATTTTCTGAGGAACTGCTATACTGCTTTTCATATGGCTGTAAACTAATTTAACTCTATCTGTACCAACTAATTTAACTGTGTCCTGTACCAACAGTGTTCAGGGTTCCCTTTTTTCCATGTCCTTGTCCACACTTACCTCTTGTCTTTTTTATAAAAGACATCCTAACAGATATAAAGTGAAATCTCACTGTGGTTTTAATTTGCATTTCTTTGATTATTAGTAATGTTTAGCATTTGTCATATACCTGTTGGCCATTTGTATTTCTCCTTTTGAGAAAAACATATTCAGGTCCTTTGCTCATTTTCATTCAGATTATTTGGGTTTTCATTATCTCCTATTCCACAGATTGTCTCTTAACTCTGTTGATGATTGTTTCCTTTGTTATGCACATTTTTAGTTTAATAAAATCCCATTTGTCTATTTTGCTACTGTTACCTTTTTACGGAGTCATAGCCAAAACTATCTTTGCCCAGACCAATGTCAAAAAGCTTCGTAGTAATGCATTTAGCAAAAGCAGCTCCAGAGAGTAGCCGCTTTCAGGGTACAAAACAATTGTCCACCCAGGCCCTTCCACAGAGGTGACCTTCTAACTCAGCTGGGCATTGTCACCTGACAGCCCAAGTTCTGCTTCTGACACTGCTTGGTGAATGACCTTGTCTGCCTTTGACATTAAAATCTATGTTAATATGAACTTATATTTGTTAATCTACTTAGGTATTTGATAAAAAAATCTCATGAATAAATTATACATAATTTACTACATATATTATAGAAATACTATAGGAGACTGTATTTACTGTAATAATACAGTAACACTGTACATATAACTTTTGGGGACTGTCATTTTTTACTCAGATTCATCCAGGTTTCTATATATAGAAATATGAGGAATTACTTGAAAGACTTGATGTATTCCAAAGAATCTTACCTAAGAAATGATATGTGAGTTGGAAGCTAGAAAATATTAAATGACCTGTATTTTTATTTATTAATTCATCCATCAAGCATTTATTAAAGACTCTCTGTGCTAGATATCACATTCAGAAATAATTTTCTAAATTCCTTTTAACAGTCTTTAATCTCTTCTTTTAAGTAAATACTATTGTTATCATTTCAGTGAAATGGACAATGAAGACACTGACGACATTCGAGAGGACACCACATATAAGAAAGTAGTTTTTCGAAAGTATCTTGATAGCACTTTTACCATACGTGACCCTCAGGGGGAGTATGAGGAGCACCTTGGCATTCTTGGTCCTGTTATTAGAGCTGAAGTGGATGATGTCATCCAAGTAAGTCAACTTTTGAGTGCTACTAAGGTCATCAGAGGAATTTCCATAAGCATCAGAGGTTGTAAAGGTGAAGGCGGTGAATGAGCTATTATTGGTGATTTATTCTCCAAAATTAACAAGCAATCACATTTTCTTTTCAAAGACTACTTGCTAAGCCATTTGACAAACTTTAAGATAAAAAAATTTTTAATGCTGAAAATAGTATAATTTGGAGGATATCACATTAATTTCTTGTTTTTTCTTGCTTTTTATTTCTTTTTTTAAGATATACATGTCAGTAGAGTATATTTTGACATATTGTACATATGTGGAGTATGTATAACTTATTCTATTAGGATCCCATTTTTGTGGTTGTAAATGATGTGGAGTTTCAGTGATCGTGTATTCATATATGAACATAGGAAAATTATGTCTGATTCATTCTTCTGTCTTTTCTATTCCCATTACTCCTCCCTTCCCTTCATTCCCCTTTGTTTAATCCAATGAACTTCTATTCCCCACCCCCATTGTGTATTAGCATCTGCATATCAGAGAAAACATTTGGCCTTTGTTTTTTGGGGATTGGCTTATTTAACTTAGTATGATAGTCTCCAGTTCTATACATTTACCAGCAAATGCTACAATTTCATTCATATTTTTATGACTGAGTAACATTTCATTGTTACACTATAATTTCTATCTATCTAAAGCTAACCTATTTGAAGCTAGCATAGCAAACTAACATATTCAGGAACAGTTCAACTGAGTTTCACAGCTATAGCAGAGGTGGCAGAGGCAATTAATAATATCTCATGGTGTTTTCTTAAAAGAAAACAGAGTGAAGTTAAAGAAAACCAGTAAGGGAAGTAAATATGTCTCTGAGCGTTCAGAAGGAAGCAAGTCCCCAAAGTATCTTCCCCATTCTGGTCATTTCTTTTAAAATCCTGTATCCAGCTACATGCCTTTAATTCTTTAATTCTTCCAGCCTCTCCTGAACATTCAACCAATCAGCTGCTTCTCCAGGGCATTCCCAGTTAAACCCATTCATGCTTTGTCTATACCACCTGCTGTCTCAGACTTGTAGCTTGGGTTCCTGTGTGTGTGCCTCTCCTCGCTAGTAGCTTTTATAACGAAGTTTATCTCTGCCATCCTTCCTAACCTCTCTCAAAATAATGATGATGATGATAATGATGATGAAGAAGCAGAAGGAGGAGGAGGAGGGGCCCTGAGTCTAAAATAATCTATTTTAGATCCAGAAATATAACCTTTTATATCTATTTAAGCATTTACCAAATTTTCAGTGACTATTTGCTCTTTTTTAAAAATGCACATCGGAGAACAGGAATATGTATTAATCAGCTTTCTGTCACTGTGACAAAATACCTGAGAGGAACAACTTAAATAAGAAAAGATTTATTTTGGCTCATGGTTTGAAGATGCAGTCCTGGGTTGCTTGGTTCCATTGCTTTTGGGCCTGAGGTGAGCAGAACATGGCAGGAGCTCATGGAAAAGCAGAGCTGCTCGCCTTATGGCAGCTGGGAAGCAGAGAGAAGGGTTGGGTCCAGGGTCCCAATATCCTTTTCAGGGGAACACCTCAGTGACCTACTCTTCTTTCTGCTGGTTCCTACCTCCTAAATACTTTACCACCTGCCAACTATGCCACAGGATACTGACCAAGCCCTCAACACACAACCTTTGGGGAACTTCAGGATCCAAACCATAGCAGAATGCAAGGATCTTAACTACTCTAGTTGTTCCATGAAGACATGGGAGGCAATACTCTTCTCTCAAGATTAGGGGGATTTTAGTCACAAGAAACTATGGAAGGAACAGGCTAAGAGATGGTCCTGGGGCACTAAGATTCCCCACATGGTATTTAAGATCCTCCATTATCTGGTCCTACCTGGTCCTCTTTGAGCCTCATTTTCCAAAAGGTCCCACCGTCTGCCATGCACTTAAGCCATACTCAGATGCTTGCTGTCCCTCAAACTCGTCCTTCACCGTCCCCTCCTCACAGGCCTTTTGTGCTCTTCTGGGAGCCTGAAATGTCTTTCTCCTCTTTCTCCCTCTGAGAAAAGGAGCACTACAGCACCTGCTGTCTCAGACTTGTGGCTTGGGTTCACATGTGTATGCCTCTCTTCGTCAGTAGTTTGAAAGCCTGTTACAAGCAAGGGCCTCATTTGCCTTCAGATCCCTAGAACTTATCTCTATCATTTTATTTGTTGATAATGTCAACACTGCGACCTTGGGCCTGAGAATTCATTTTTTGGTGTTTCTGGATAAACTATTTGAGTCCTATCTCACGGGATGATTGTAGAAGTAGATGAAATATTATAAATAAAGTACTTCGCCATTGTAAGTGCTCTGATCTCACAACTGTCTAACTTGGCCTATCATGCTGACAATTTTTTGGTTTGGATTTTTCTTAAGCTTAAGTATATTTGTGGATTGTTCATAGGTACGTTTTAAAAACTTAGCATCCAGACCATATTCTCTTCATGCCCATGGACTCTCCTATGAAAAGTCATCAGAAGGAAAGACTTATGAAGATGACTCTCCTGAGTGGTTCAAGGAGGATAATGCTATTCAGCCAAACAGCAGCTACACATATGTGTGGCATGCTACCGAGCGGTCAGGACCCGAGAGCCCTGGCTCCGCCTGTCGGGCCTGGGCCTACTACTCTGCGGTGAACCCGGTAGGTCCTTCCATCCAAGGCTGTCACCATCCCCAGCCTTCCAGTCTGACTCTGTTATGTGCAAGAATATTGGATTTCTGTCTTAAAAGTCTGCCTTTGCATGAGGACGTGGAAGGGTGTGTCAGCCATCCACAGCTACCATAAAAGGGAGTGAGAAACATTGATTCAGTGAACAGGATGGAGGATTATTTAAATGGCCGGCCCCCATTAGAGTGCCTGAGTCTACAGAAAAAGTGTTTATTTGCAATTTTCTAGAGCCTTTTACTGCAGCAGTGTTCTGCTCTTTATAAAAGGACTGAAAGATTGGGACTCCTTCATTTATCATTTCACAGTGTACATATAATCCCAGACAATATGTTGTACATGGTAAATATATACAATTTTTTTCAGATAATTTTTTAAAAAGATTTCTTCATTTGAGGCACAGTAGGAAGAGCACAAACTTAGGTTGTGTATGTATGTGTGTGTGTGTGTGTGTGTGTGTGTGGTCCTGGGGGTCAAGCCCAGAACATGCTACGCACATACTCTTCCACTGAACTACATCCCTAAGTCCTAGACTTAGATTTACATTCCTACTCTTTCACTGTGCAACCATAAGAAATTACTTGACCTCTCAGTCTCAGTTTCCAAAATTAAAAATGAGATAATAGTATGTAGCACTTGATAAATATTTGTTCAATGAATGAGGTTATATTTATTATCATAGAAGACAGTTGTCAGGATTAAATGAGATCCTACAGGCCAACTATTTAATATAGTACAGGTGTTCAAATCTAGTACCCATTGTATTATCAATGACATTATTATCATCATTACTGGGATAAAGAATATAATCAGAGGAATGCAACAGAATTAAGTGAAAAGTCTCCAGGTTTATTAAGCTGATGATTAATAATTTTTAAATTCGGAGACTTTAAGAAGAGATTTCCTTTTCAATATGATTAGTTGCCCCCAAAAGAGTGAAGGCAATCCTGAGCACAGGTGAACTGTGCCATTTGGTATTCCTCTCTTCCAGGAAAAAGATGTCCACTCTGGCCTGATAGGTCCCCTTCTGATCTGCCGTAAAGGAACACTTCACAAGGAGAGCAACATGCCCATGGACATGAGAGAATTTGTCTTACTCTTTATGGTCTTTGATGAAAAGAAGAGCTGGTACTATGAAAAGTCCAAAGGGTCTCAGAGACGTGAATCTTCAGAAGTAAAAAACTCCCATGAGTTTCATGGTATGGTCCTCTGACTTGAATCTGATCTCTGAATTAATCACACTGGGTCATAGTGATTCCTGCCCTTAGGTTTTCACAAGATTAGACATTAGATCTTCGGAGGAACCAGGAGTTACAGCAAAACTCAGCTCCTGAACACCTGGCAGGTGACAGGGCAGGTGAGGGAGTGCAAAGAAGGTCTGCAAGAGCACACAGAGCTGCTCCAGGTAAAGGCCAGTGCACTTCAGCCACCAGCACGCATGGCAAAGGAAGGAACATTACTCTACAATTTCAGTCATGACCTGGAAAAAGAGCAAGTATCTACATAGACGAGATGACCCTGTGTGTCTTTTCTAAAGAAGAATGTCCTATGTTCTTGCTCCAGCAGCTGTCAGGCAGCCACCATGCTGGGTAACCTGTGAGAAAGGGAATGAAGGGCGAGGAAACTAGACACAAGGTAGCCAGAGGAGAGTGGCAAGAGAGCACGAGAAAGGGGTCACACTGGGAAAAGGACACTCAGAAACCCATTCAGGAATTTGGCCTGTATATTCCCAACTGAATTATAAACAGTTTTAGAGAAAGGCCAGAATTTAGGATTTTGTGGCAGCTAAAAAAATAAATAAATGAAGGGCAGGGGCCTGTAATTAGAAAACAATGAAGACTGATAAGCTCTGTTTTGAGAATTTGGAGAATGGAGGTATGGGGTGTAGCTCGAGATTTCTGATCTCTGAGGACCTGTGTGGGAAGTGGATCACTCAGGGTAACAAGCAAGTTGCTATTGCGTAAGGAAACAAACAAAATCCATTATATGCAACACCTCCAGCCATCCAGCAAGACTGGTGGGTCTCTCCTCCCTCTTCTACCATTCATGTGCTCAAGCTACCCTTCTTTTATCTTTTCTTGTTTTTAACCTTTCTTCTATTTCTAGGAGAAATTTAATGATATCGACCATAAACATACTTTGAGGTACAGACAGGCAAGTAGTATGATTTACTATCTGCTCTAAAGTCCCACCGGCTAAGGATGAACTCTACTGATCATAAAAAGGTTAAAAAGTTCAAATATTAAAAAGACCCTATTAATTAGAGTGGAGCGAGAGACAACCAACAAAACAGACTGAAAGCAGAGCTTTCTTTCCCTTCTCTTCCACCAGCTGTAGCCCCCCAGCCCATTGTGCTTGGTCTCAGGAACAGGAAGCACACTTTAGAAAACCATGGCCTCTAGAAAGGCACGGCCTGCAGAGTCAGACAGGGTGGTTCTTGGCTATGCCCTTGACTCACTAATTGCCCTGGAGAAACTGTTTCTTGATTTCATCTAAGAAAGTCTCAAAAGCATCTGGAATAGCTTTAGTCCCAAGTGTGTTGCAGTAGTCTGAGTCTCTGTAATGTGGTATCCCCGTGCTGTGTCACCAAGGTATTTTATAGACAGACCGCTCGAGTCCCAAACCCCTAGCTCAGTGCCTTCCTCTGAAGAATATGCTCAGTAAATATGTGAACTGGTGACTAAATGAGTGGATTCTTTCAGCCCTATTTAGTATTTAATGAGTACCCATCGTGTCAGGTCTTCACTTCTGTTTCCTGATGGACAGGTTTGAAGTGCCCCTTAATCATCCCTCGAGATGCCTTTCACTCTCGTGAGCTCTATTTCTTAAACAGGAGTTAAGATGAGGGGTAAGAGGTGGTGTTCTAAGGAAGTCCACAGCTGTCCCCTTACCTGATGTGATTTTAAGGGTGCCAAAAGGATCTCAACTCCTCCCACTCTAAAAATTCCCTTACTTGGCTCCAAGGAATTCCACCACAATTCCTTTAATATAATAAGAGACACTTTCCCTCTCTCTGTTCCACTTAAATGCTTGGTAGCACTAAGTTTTATCATTAAAATGTTGTGTTGTATTTGTAAGATGGTCAAGTTTAGCAGGTGATTTTAAAACAAACAGAAAAACACATTTCACTAAAGGGAGAGTGAATACAGCTGGAGAACCCAGACACCCAAGCTGAGAAGAGGGCAGAGGAGCCACCATATCAAACAGAAAATGAGCACAAATGGCCATGGGTGGTGGGAACACTGAAGCTGAACTCCAACTTCCAGATTTATGCTGGAACTCTCTGACTTCAGGAGGCCTCAGGGTGACAAGCTGCATGTCCCCTTACTCTCACCTCAGATTTGCATTATCTGTCCAGATTCATCTCCATTTGTTTGTGGCAAAGGGACATTTACACTATTAATGTGAAGGATAGATGAGTAAAGCAGAGAGGGAGAGGCACACTGCAGGGAAGAGTGGGGAACCTTGGAATGGGAGCTCACTGCACTCCTGGAGGCTGGTGCACAGGACAGGAGAAGGACTTGGAGGTTCTGGTTCTGTTTCAGCCTCTCACTGGTCTTAGGACACACAGGAGGGCCCTCTCTACGCCTGTGTGGGGCTAGAAATGTGGAGACATGAGGAGGATGAGCAGTGGTATGTTGCCTCACATTTCCTTATCAACCTCCTCCTGGAGCATACAAGTTTCAATTGAATTGCAACTCTCTGTCGTTTCAGCCATCAATGGGATGATCTACAACTTGCCTGGTCTGAGAATGTACGAGCAAGAGTGGGTGAGGTTGCACCTGCTGAACATGGGCAGTTCCCAAGACATTCACGTGGTTCACTTTCATGGCCAGACCTTGCTAGAACATGGCACTCAGAAGCACCAGTTAGGGGTCTGGCCCCTTCTGCCTGGTAAAGATCTGGGCAATGGAAGAGGTCCCTGCTAAGAAGTAGCTGGACAGGACAACCTTAGCATCCATAACTCCCCCTCCTTCTCTCCCTGTGCATCTACTACCTAAGGGGTCAGAACACAGGGTTCTGCCATAGATCCGAGGCAAAGCCACATACCAAACTGTTTACAGTATATAAAAAAGCTAGTGTATGACGTGTGCAGCCCACACAGGCTAAATGTGTGACCCAATGTGGTTCAGCAGAGACGCTGTGTTTCTCCTGAGCTGCTGTCTGTTGAGCAGATCAGGTCTCCAGCCGATGACAATATGAACCCTAGAGGGCTGGGGCAGATGAAGCTCATTCTGTTGGGAGGGAGATTAGAAACTTATTAGGGCTCTGGATTCTTGAATTCTACTCCTGGCTCTATCCCCTAATAGTTTTGGGTCCAGGAATCATAATCTTGTATGTAGTTTTTTGGAGATAAAAGTTTTGTTTGTTTGTTAGTTAATGATTATAAAAGCTAAACCAAAACAAAGGTATTTATAGCTTTTCATATGTTGAATAATGAGAAAATGTAGATTTAAGCAAACCACAGTTTATCAGAGAAGACTTACCAATGAGTTGTTTGTAGGTATACCTGTTCAGATAGCAGATGTGTGAGCAGAACCAGTGCTGGGTGCCACTGATTCTCAAATGTCAGCAGGCATAGTAAAGACCTAGGAAGCTGGTTAAAATGCAGACAATGAAAAACAGAGGTTCTGTTCTCAGCAGCTTTGATCTTGGGTGGAATTCCCAAGCAGCCTCCCCTCCACAGAGCTGTCTGAGGAGCTAGTGAAAAGCTGTCCCTTGACTAGCCCTTGAGTGAGGATACCATTATGTGACTCTGCTTCAGATGCAGGCCCACAAATCCACACGGGCCTGGATTGGTGGGTGGAGGGGAGGAGGGGGTTCTTGTTTGTTTGTCATGCTCCATGACTGGCCAAAAAATCTAGAAGGACCCACTCTATCAGGATCAGAAACAAAAGGGACTGGGTCAAACTTACTGTTTCTTCTGTTTTGTTTTGGCTACGAGGGATTGAACTCAGGGAGGGGCACTTGACCACTGAGCCACATCCCCAGCCCTATTTTGTATTTCATTTAGAGACAGGGTCTCACTGAGTTGCTTAGAGCCTCACTTTTGCTGAGGCTGGCTTTGAACTCACGATCCTCCTGCCTCAGTGTCTGAGTTGCTAGGATTATAGGCGGGTGCCACTGCGCCCAGTTTATTGCTTCTGTTTTCACCAAGTATTAGCACATCAGCTGTACTTCCCAAGATTCTGAACAAGGATTGAGCAGCCACTATCTAAACCTCCAAACTTGAGTATCTGATTGGAGGCAGGAGAACTGGAGATCCCAGTTCAGTGTGTTTGAGGGGGATGACCACTGGCTACTAATTTTCACTTATAATCTGGGCACTGGCCACAAATCATATTCAACAGAATTTATGTACAATGTTAACTGGCAAAGGGTGATATTAAGTATCAGAATGAATAATCAGAGGTTGTATAGACCTCATTCTTTCAGTGCTTTTCTGAAATAATTTATGTAAATATCCAAATATATAAGCTTCTAAGAAAATTTGAAAATTATAAGGAAAGGGTGTTTGTTTTAATTTTCTTATTTTAAAAACAAAAAAGAGATGAAAAAGGAAGGAAAGGAACAATGTTTTTGAGGCCTGATGATGAGTCACTCATGGTCACCTTGATACTTGGGACTATGAAACTTGGTTGTCCATGGGTGAACTGTAACATCACATTAGATAAGTGAAAGTTGCTTTCTAGTGTGGTGTAATTCATTTTTAGTAATTTGTATGTGTGTTATTGTTTTGTAGTTGTTTTGATTCTGTCAGTTGCAACTTGCTTGCCTAGAGAAATGGATAACTCTCAAATTCTGTGCTTCAGCCTCTGTGATGTGGGGGTTTTAGGACCCCTGGAAAGCTGTCAATCACAATATTAACTTGTTTATCTTTGGGTGTATAATTTTGCCCTTACTTCTCTATCTGAGGTACATTTAAAACTCTTGAAATGAAAGCATCAAAACCTGGCTGGTGGCTTCTGGACACAGAAGTTGGAGAAAACCAGCGAGCCGGCATGCAAACGCCTTTTCTCATCATAGACAAAGGTACAACCCCAGAGCCACATCTTGTTCATTAGCAGGAGAGGGCCTGCTACTAGAATACTGCTAACTTTTAGATTGCAAATGTTCCATCCTGATAACCCTCATGTGACAAAGGCGTATTTTGTAGCCGGAGGTGCTTTTGTTCTGGGCCAAGGTCTGATGGCACTGAAAACATGCCAAATGGTTCAGAACAAAGGCAGTCCTCTTAATTAGGGAATCATCCCTCCTCCTAATCTTTCCACCAGAAAAAAATATATAAGAGATTCTCTAGGTTCCTAAAACAGAGTGGGGAAAAGGTAACAGGAATTACAAAATGATAGAGATAGTCACTGAACCTGGCATGTCAGTATTCAAGAGACTCAGTTTCCATCTGCCACTCTTCAAGCCTTCACTGACAGCACCTGCTGAGCACCACTGTGCCATATCCAGGCCACACCCTGGCTGGCAATCTCCTCCCTGATGGTGTGTGGATAATCTGTAACTTCCAGGTCAACTTTTAAGAACACAGTCTCACGAAGGATAGTACTTAAGAGTTGTAAATAGCTTACTTTAAGAGCCAAGCAGGTAGAAAAGGGTTTAAAAGCCAGCTGCATTTCAGGATTTCAGTTCTTTTCCTCTGGGGTGGCACTATTAAAATTAAAGCACCATTCTTGCTAGTGCACTTTCTATTTTAAAATGAAACATATTTAAGTCCACGCCACACAAAGTAGGCAGAAATAGTTACAGACCCATCATAATGTCTAGCCAAGGATCTTTTACTTTGTTGTATTTTCTAAGCAAAAACGAATCATTGTTTGGTTTTTCATAGAATGTAAGATGCCAATGGGACTAAGCACTGGTGTCATATCTGATTCACAGATCAAGGCTTCTGAGTATCTGAGTAAGTATTAACATCATAGCCTGTGAATGGCAACCTTATAATTGTGCAGTGTACACCCTGTGGAATCATACATTACCACACTTCCACGTGTCAGTTCTCCTTTCCAGGCTTTTTTCTACCACAACATAATGAGACAGCTCCGTTTGGGGTGCTCATCCGGTAGTGGAAGGTACACGAGGACAGGTGATAAAGGCCTGTTGGTTATAGTCCCCATTAATAAGGCCCCTTGCCTGTGCCAAGCATTCATCGATTTAAGAAGCTTTACTCATCATCCACTCGGTCAGGGACATCTAAATTTCCTCAGGCGGCCTGAAATCCTTCCAAGATTGAGGCCTTGATCAAGAAGACGATGAGGCTCCCATATGGGTCCCTCCCTTATTTTCCTGGTGTAGGGGCAGTCTGCAGCAGCTATGCCAACAGAACAGAGAAAATACAAGCCTCACCTGTGTGAAGGAAAGGGTGGATGGTGGTGGATGGCTGAGCAAACACAGGCTGAAACGAGATTTCATCACTGGGGTCTGGCTCGGTACCAGGACCCTGTCAACTGCTTGCTCTCCTAAAGGGAGCAGGTCCTGCAAGGCTCTGGTTTTCCACTGGATTTAACTCACTTAAGACACTGCTAGTTATTGTTATTGTTTTTTTTCCCCAAAATCCAGAATAAGCTTTTTTCCTTCTTTTGAATTTAGGTTATTGGGAGCCCAAATTAGCAAGATTAAACAATGTTGGATCATATAATGCTTGGAGTGTAGAAAAAATTGCAACAGAATTTGCCTCTAAGCCTTGGATCCAGGTATGTATTATCCTGATAATGTTTACTGCTATCATAAAAAAATGACTGTGATATAATAATTCTCTTTGTTATTCTTTCAATGTTATAGAGGAAATAGCAACTTAACAGAAATTATTTTCAATACTTTACATCTTCAAAATCAACCACCTAAGAATGGTTCTAATAATATCCCATTTTATAGGTGAAAAACTAAGACAGAGATTAAAAACTAACTTTCCAGAGTGTCACACAAATAGGTAGCGGTGTAAGCTGGGTTCAAGTCCAGGCACCATGTGCTCACATATGGATTGCATCTAGCCATTTTATGAATTTGCTGAGACCGTAAGAAGGTCGGCTCTGAAGAGAATTGACTGCCACGTGTGTCTCACTGACAAGGCCTTCTGCTCACGGGCGTTCCTACACTGCAGGTGGACATGCAAAAGGAAGTCGTAGTCACAGGCATCCAGACCCAAGGAGCCAAACACTACCTCAAGTCCTGCTACACTACTGAGTTCCAGGTGGCTTACAGTTCCGACCACACCAACTGGCAGATCTTCAAAGGGAACAGCACCAAGAATGTGATGGTTTGTATACACGTTTCTGTCTGAATCTCAAGACTCACCCCATGGTTACTAGGACTGTGCCCTTTTAAAATAATCTTTGTGGATGCTAGAAATGTGAATGGCTTTCTAAGAGTTCTATGGAGGAATGCGGGGACATGATAGGTCTATAAGGATAAGCAGAGCTGCTGAAACTCCAAAACCCCACAAAATTTGAAAAAAAAAATCCCTTTATCATCAAATAAAGCACCTAGATGTATCAGATTAGCAGACAATGTACAGCAGTGTGGAGTGTCTGGTCTCATTCCTCAAGACCCTCATGCTAGAAATTGGCCACCAAGAGTTCTGATTTTATTTTGTTCTTCATTTCAATGTGCCTGAAGCAAACAGCAGGGTTATGCCAAGGATGCTCTGAGGTAGCAGGACTTTCAAGGGCACTTGGGGCCATGCCTGAGGCATGACTATCCCCAGCTGGGCACAAAGCCCTGGCTCCTGCCCCCTGCCCTCAATGACTCCCCAGAGGAAGTGACCTGAGTGCAAGGACACCAGTAACCTGTCTGCCATTATGACACCTGTAACCTTGAATCTGCTTCATTTTATATCCTGTGTAAATCATCTACTATTTACTATTTTTCTACATTATCATTTAGCTATTTCTAATGGCTAAATTAGTTGTCATATAACAGATTAAATCATGAAAATCTTAAGTTATGGTTCTGATTAACCCACATTGGGAGGAAAACACAGATTGCAGTTGAGTCTGTAACTTAAGGATTTCCGCATTTATACTCATGAGGGATATCACTGTAAAGTTGTTTTTTTTTTTTTTACTGCCTATTTTTGCTATCATAGTAATACCAAACCATAGAAGAAACTTGTGAGCATGTGAAGAGATTTCTACAAATTTGTCTTAATTTTATAAACATTTGGTAAAAATTTCCAGCAAAACCATCTGGGTCTGGGGATTTCATTTGGAGTTTTAAAATTATAAATCCAATTTCATTAATGGTTATAGTGATATTCAAATGATCTAGTTCATATTAGGTGTGTTGTGATACTTTGTTTTTAATAAATTGGCTCACTTCCTCCAGGTCCTAAGCCGCGTGTAGAGGTGTTTGTAGGATAGGTCCCTTTCTAAGTCAGAGGGTCTGTACTGACAGTGCCTGTTTTCATCTCCTCAGTCTCACAACCCTAAGTCTATGGCTTCCCATTCAGCCTTGGCTGTTGTGGGTGGGGAAGGGGCCACTGTTTTTTTGTGGTGTTTGGCTTCTATAAAACAGTTATTGTCTAAAACTTTTTGCCAGGCTGCCTCTTCCTGGTACTTTGACTACAGAAAGCAGGATTTTGTTGGGTAATTTTTTTGTCTGTACTCAAGGGTGTCTCCACTTTACCAACTTCTTCATCTCCAGACTGGGATATATGAGGCAAAGAGGAAACTCAAGGAGCCCACTCCATGTTGTTCCTTGGGCCCTGAGAACCCTGGTCAGTCTGTTCTTTTTTCTCCACCTTTCAGAGTCTTCTTATGTTTCTTTTATGTACAATGTCCCGGGGTTTTAGTTGTATGTAGCAGAGGAAACAAGGCAAAGTACATCTATTCCATCTTCCTGAAGTGGAAGACAATTATTACTATTATTATTATTATTATCATCATCATCATTATTATTGGTTCTGAAGATTTAACCCAGATATGCTTTAGCACCAAGCTACATCCCCAGCCTTTTTTGTTTTTTATTTTGAGACAGAGTCTCACTAAGTTGTTTAAGGCCTCACTAAGTTGCTAAAGCTGGCTTTGAACTTGTGATCCTCCTACCTCAGCCTCCGAAGTCACTGGGATTACAGGTGTGTGCCACTACACCCAGCAGAAGTCAATTATATTTTAAGATCAAATTGATTCAAATGACTCAGACCCATGAAACTTAATATTATAATACTAAGTTAGATCAAAATATTATTATAAAATTACTGAGAATTGTTACATGACTGATCTTTCCTTTGTTCTTCTAGTATTTTGATGGCAATTCAGATGCCTCTACAATAAAAGAGAACAAGTTTGATCCACCTATTGTGGCTAGATATATAAGGATCTCTCCAACAAGATCCTATAACAGACCTACCCTTCGACTGGAGCTGCAAGGTTGTGAGGTCAATGGTAAGGCACAACCATGCATTATCTTCTCACTGAATCTCTAGGGCTCAAGATTGGGGGTTGTGCCTCCAATTCTAAGTAGAATTCTTAGATCTCTTCCATGAATTAGGCTTCCAGAAAAATCTCCATGATCACAGACTCCTCTCAGGTAAACTCTTAGTGACCCACCATGGTAGGGTCCTAGGTTGAAATTAGCTCCATCAATCCATTATCATCAAGAAATACTTGAGATTCAAAGTTTGACTCTTCCAAAGTCTTCCTGGCTACACAGACTTTTATGTAATGAAAGTATCTGACCATGTTTCTAAGGTATCTTTCTGTTCAATGAATGTTTTGAAATCTGTTTTCCAACTTCATAATCACATTCTATATTCTCTTTCGTACCTGTGTAGGTACTCAAGTCTTTTCTTTGTAAGCTGCTGTCTTTTAGGGGATGTAAAAAGACCAATGGTATTTTTTTAAAAAAATCTAGATAATCACAAATAGTCATAATAAAATTCTACTTCAGGTAGCAAGGATGCTTAGAGTTTTATCAACTATTCTTCTCTGACTTAAAGCTGTGCTGTCCAGCATTTTCCACTTCAAAGCACATAAAGAAAATAATATCATCTTCCTAATAATCTGAGCTAAACCAATAAAGCAACTGGCCCAGACTTGGCTAATCCTGACCCCACCCCAGCTGGCCCCCCCGGACTGGGGTGGAGGTGTCAGAACACAGGCACATGGGAAACTCACTGGGTCACTCCTGGTGGAAATTACAGCACACTCCCTAGTGACGGGTAAGGAGCGGGGACTCTTGGTGGAGAAAGCCGCTGAACCTTGGAGTCACTTTCTTATCAAAGCAGATAATGGAGCAGTATACACTTGACACTCATGAGGGATATGGATGTGGGCACTTTGCCAGTGTCCAAATAGCCCAGGATGCAACACCTCCATATAAAATACAACTTTTGTGCAGACAGGATTACTCCTTAAAACAGTTCTGTAAATTGCTAGGGCTTTTTCTTTCCATTTGGTAAATGGTATAAATTGTAGATTTGTTCAGATTATACAGTCAAATTACCCTTTGACGTTCAATTCTGTTAATTTATTTAAGACATCTCTTTTCTATGTAAGAAACATTACTTTGTTCTTACTTCACTTTCTTGTGTATAATTAGCATCTCAGTAGCCGTTCCTTTTACGATTTTTGTCACCCACCCCCAACTATCGATACATACTCCCCCAACACACATACACAGAAAGCAAGGTATCACTTTAAAATATGAGTGCATGTTGTACTAGCAAGAACAAAGCATCCCAGGATGGGCAATCAGTGAGGTTCACTCACTAGCTATGCTCCTTACACAGCCTGGCACCTGGGAAGTTCAAGTTACACTTTGGCAAAATTCCAAAGGATGCATAAAATGAGTCACACTCAAAGAGTTGATAGGAAAATACTAAATGGTCACTACCAAGGATTTGTTGTACTCTCTTTGTCGCGTTTGTTAGGAGAACCAGAGTGTTTTCTACATATAGCCATGCATTGCTTAACAACAGGGATATGTTCTGAGAAATCCACCGTGAGGCAGTTTTGTCTCTGTTAAAACCTCAAAGAGCATCCTTCCACAAACCTAGATGGTACGAGCCAATCACTTGATGCCATTTTGATTGCATCATGAGAAGCAGAAAAAAGATGTGTGCAGCTGCTGCCAGCACAACATGACATATTCTTTACAGTAAGCTATTTTTATTACATAGAAGGAGTACATTCTAAATAATGGTAAAAAGAGAGTACGCAAGCCAGTAAATGTCACTATTCTCAAATATCATGTACTGTTTGCAGTTGTATACACTGTACTCTTACGCAATCAGCAGAACAGTCATTTATTTTGCCAGCATAACCATAAATACATGAATTACATGCTTTGTCATGACACTGAGGGCTATGACCTCACCAAGCAACAGAAATTTTTCAGCTCCATTATAAACTAATGGGACCTTCTGCACACATAGTTGGCCATTAACTAAAAGGTCATTGTACAGCACATACAACACAGGGATAGTGCAGAGTACTATCTGCCTCAAAGCAAAGTCTGAAATTTCAGTCTCAATGAAGGAAGCAAGGGAATTTAAATATTTAGAACATGGTGTTTGGCATCACAGTGAGTTTAAACTCAGTTTCTAATTCTTTTGGCTGTGTGGTTAGGCAAGTTACTGTTCTTGCTGTATTTTTGTAAAATAGAGATATTATGAACATTAAATAATACACTTAAAGCCCAAGAGCAATGTTTAGCACAGATTCAATTTCAGTGTTGCGATCAATGTTTTTATTGTCACTTGGTTTAGATGCTATTTCTTCTGCAGCATAAAACGCCATGCAGGGGATATTGGTGCTATATAATTCATCATGTTCCTTTTCTCTTGACAGGATGCTCTACACCTCTGGGTATGGAAAGTGGAAAGATAGAAAACAAGCAAATCACTGCTTCCTCGTTTAAAAAATCTTGGTGGGGAGATTACTGGGAGCCTTCCCTAGCCCGTCTTAATGCCCAGGGCCGTGTGAATGCTTGGCAAGCCAAGGTGATGCAGACCTTTAAAATGGAGTTGTGTTCTCCCCCATGCCCCAGAAGAAAACAATAGCCCCAGCACAGGGGGCAGTAGGAGTCTCCTCTCCTGTCTCTGCAGATTAAAATCCTAGGTCTGAGACTCTAGAACATCTGCTAATCACTAGCTGTAGCTCTGACTTTCGTCCCTGTGGTTTGTGCTCTAGCCTTGACTTAAACCAGGAGGGGACAACATTTTTCTGCAAAGAGCCAGATAGAAAATACTTTAGGCTTTCTGAGCCATTCATTCTATCTTATAATACTCAACTCTGCTATCATAGCTTGAAAGCAGCCACATACATCACAAAAATGCACATGCATGATAGTGGTTTCCAGTTTCTGATTTAGACAACATTATAGTAATATAAAAAATAAAGACAGCTATCACCCAAAGCTTTCCCAGATGATCCTTTAGACCTGTACATTGTAAACCTTGTTACTCCACCCTCCACCCCTTCAAAAAATTTGCTCTCTAATATAGCTTGTTCTTAGTCTTTGTGATGTAATGAAACCCAAAGATGAAATGCTAATTTTAAATTTTTAGTTCTGTCATTTTAAATCTGTAATTCTGGGACAGTTTCATTTAACTTTCTACTAGAATGAAATGGGTATATGCGTATACAGATATGTGTGTGTATGCACGTGCGCGCGCACACACACACACACACACATTTTGAGACGCGGTCTAGCTAAGTTGCCAAGACTGGCTTTGAACTCACCATCCTCCTGCCTCAGCCTCCTAAGCAGCTAGATTACAGGTGTGTGCCACCTGGCCCATCGTAGTATTTAAACAAACTCACTTAAGGAAATACTTTCAGATAATTTAACAATTTTCTGAAGGAAAATTAATTGCATTCATTCAGCAATTATTTACAGAGCACCAACTATATTCCTCACATTGTTGTGAATACCAGGAAATGAAACTAAATAAGTCCCTGCCCTCAACCAGTAAGGTTTAAAACAATTATTGTATAAATAATTATTGCACACTGAATAAAATACATCAATAGAAATTTATATATGTTTTGACAAAAACAAGAAGGAACAGGGAAGGCTTCTAAAAGACAATGAATCCTAAGGGTAAGACATAAAGGAAATACTCTGTGCATTTCTGAATGTCTTGGTTTAACAAAGCAAAGGCTGCAACATATTCCCTATCCATGTGTTTTTATCATTTCATAGGCTAACAACAACAAACAGTGGTTACAAATTGATCTGCTCAAAATCAAGAAGATAACTGCAATTGTAACACAGGGCTGCAAGTCTCTGTCCTCTGAAATGTATGTGAAAAGCTACACCATCTACTACAGTGACCAGGGTGTGGAATGGAAACCTTACAGGCAGAAATCCTCCATAATGGACAAGGTATCTTGGCAAGAGAAAACATTCTGAAAACTAGGCCATGATTAGAAGGATAATAGCACCTCACATTTTACAAATATGCACCAATATGTCCGTCTTTATGTCTTCCAAATCCTAGTTCTACTGGTGCCTGGTGTCTGCACAGGGATCAAGCACATCACCTTTTTGCCTTGACTGAGCCACTTGTGAAATAGTGAAGACAAAAATACCAGGGGATGGTATGAGGCTTACTTAGTTCTTATTGAGAAAGATGGCAAAGGCATCCAGAAAGCCTTCCACTGTGAAGTGACACCACATTAACATTGCCTTAGATCTACTTGGTATTTATGACTGATTGAATGCCCAAGATTATAAAGCTTTGTATGCCATATTATTATTGAACAAGCAACTATCATCCTTTCTGATGTATAGAATAGCTTTCCTGCAAGATTAGCTGCTCTTTTACATTCTTACATCTTAATAGGTGGTTTAAAATTCTACCAGAGGCAGCACCACCGAGATGGGCCCAGTATTCCAGGAAGGGGAATTTGTCTAAAGCCAGGATGAGAAGCTACACAGGGAGAGGGTGCTCAGCACTTATCTCTGTTAATGAATTTGTACTCATTTCTCACTTTTTAAACTGTTTTGTTTCTCACTATATGAGGTTGTTCTCATAACAGGGTTAGTAAGCATCACTGCCATAACCAAATAGTGACTTAGCTTCTGCAGTATGTGTCAATCTTGGAGAACTTGCCAAGGATCAAAACAAAATAAAACAAACAAACAAAAACCTTACATGACAGTTTACTTGAGAATACAGAGAATATTCTAAAAAAGATGAACAAAAATGCATGGCCATATTTTAATTTAAATGTTAGGAATAGCTAATCATTTATTGGTGTTCACTACCTGACACTACTGGCACTTGTCATGTGTACATTTTTAAATCTTCCATGTGGTAGAATTTTATTATCCCCATTTTGCCAAGAGGAAATGGAAAATCAGAAAATATAACTAACTTCTTCAAAGTCACACAGCTACAAAGGGGCTACAAGCAGAGATGATTTTGCAGCTACTCCCCAGCACCATGTCAGATTTATTTTTCTTCATTTGACTCAGATCATTGGTGAAATGAAAAATCCTTTTTTTTTTTCTTTCAATTTTTAATTATTTTATTACTGCCTCTCTATTCCCCAGGGTGAATCCTTAAAGGAGTCTGCCTGGTTTGGGATTTCATGACTGAGGATCATCTCTGTGAGGGCATTGTTCGATGCCCTCAGTTTCAATGAAAATAAGTTTTTTAAAATGTATATGTTTTCTATACTAATTATACCAATATTAAAGATTTTCTTATTTTTCTTTCAGATTTTTGAAGGAAACAGTAATATCAAAGGACATGTTAAGAATTTTTTCAATCCACCAATCATTTCCAGGTTCATCCGCATCATTCCTAAGACATGGAACCAAAGCATTGCACTTCGCCTGGAGCTCTTTGGCTGTGACATTTACTAGAGCTGATTATTTGAAAAACCAGAAGAGACTCTTTCAGACTTCCAATCATTCAGAGTGGACAGTGTGTTTTATGGCTATTTTAAATATTAACATTTTCCCATTATTTCTCTTTTTTTCTATTCTATTAGAGAATAAAATTTTATATAAGAAATTTTTATAATGCAATTCATTGCTGCCATTCAATGAGATAGTGGCTATTATTTCTACATTCATTTGAATATAGATGGGAAAATATCATGAACCAACAAAAAAAAATGACATCTTTCACAATGATTAAAAATTCTATATAAAGAAATATTCATGTGATTAATATGCTTCATTATAGCTTTTTCAAATCCCATATGCATTAATAAAAGAAAGATTACTTTATAGACCTGGAAAACTTTCATTCTTTTGTTTTGCTTAAAAAAATAACCTATGATTTATGTGCAAAGGAAAAAGGATTTTTAAAAATGGTTTGTTGCTCCTGATAGCAGAGTGAAAGACAATGTTGCCATGTGAAATGATAGGTGTCTAAAGTGCCCTGTCTTTCCTGTATGATGATGATCTGCTCCTTCTACATGAGCAAAGAAAGAAACATGATTTTAGTGTCCAACTGAACTTGTGAATCTGTCCTGGTCTCCCTTGGGACTGGCTGCAAGAATTAATGTTCAAACAGTTGTTGGACATTGTTATGGTTTGCATGTGAGGTGTCCCCCAAAATCTCATGTGTGAGACAATGCAAGAAGGTTCAGAGGAGAAATTATTGGGTTATGAGAGTTTTAATATGATTAGTGAATTAATCCCCTGATGGGATTAACTGAGTGATAACTGAAGGTGTGTAGGATGTGGCTGGAGGAGGGGGCATTGGGGGCCTGACTTTGGGGTATATATTTGGTATCTGATGAGTGGAGTCTCTCTCTGCTTCCTGATGATCATGTGAGCCGCTTCCTTCTACCACACTCTTCCGCCTCACCTCAAGCCCTGAAGAATGGAGCCAGCTGTCTTTGGACTGAGACCTCTGAAACCATGCACCCTCAAATAAACTTTTCCCCCTCTACATTGTTCTAGTCAATCTTTTAGTCACACCAGCAAAAATCTGCCTAAAACAGACATGAAGCAAAACTAAAATAACTATCGGAGAAATAAACACGTGGCTTTGGCTTCATTCTGGCTGGCGTTGTCTCCTCACAGGTTCACCTAAGGGAAGGATTATACCTGTAGCACATTATTTAAACTGCTGGCTCAAAAGCAGCTGTTCCTGCTGTAACTGGCCCTTGGCCAGAAAGGCAAGACAAAGGCTGCAGCTGGAGTTATCAGGAAGCTCAGCTGAGTCTTCTCATCCTCTCCAAGTAGTTTCAGGTCTTCTCCTCACAACATGGCTTCCACACATGTCTTCTGATGTCTCCAACAGGGTAGGTGGACTTTTTATAGGTGGTTCAGGCCCAATAAGCAGGTGTTTGAGGATTAGGAAACAGAGACTTCCAGTATCTTGGAAGACTGGACCCAGAACAGGTGCTGCCTCACTTCTGTTGCATTCTTTTGGTTAATGCAAGTTAACAAGAACAGGTCAGGCAAGATTCAGTGTAGGAGGAACTACTTAGGATGTGCATACCAGAAGCCATAATTCATTAGATCTTCATAAACTAACAGAGTTACCTTCAGGTGGGGTGAGCCCTGCAATGAACATGAGAACTTCAAAGTCTCCCAAACACTGGCTTTCTGGTTTGTATTTCTGTTGTTTCTTTTATTTCATGATTCATGTCACTGATCCACCACAAGTGCTCTAAGTTTTTCATTTTGTTAAGAGCAAAACACAGTGTCTGAGAAGGGAGGGGTCAAGGAAGTAGGAAAGACGGTGAAATGAGATGGACACGAGTGGTGTTATTCTGTATACAACCAGAGATATGAAAAATTGTGCTCTATATGTTCAATATGAATTCTAATGCATTCTGCTGTCATATATAACAAATTAAAAATTTTAAGGGCTGGGGATGTGGCTCAAGCGGTAGCGCACTCGCCTGGCATGCGTGAGGCCCGGGTTTGATCCTCACACCACATACAAACAAAGATATGTTGTGTCCGCCGAAAACTAAAAAATATATTAAAAAATTCTCTCTCTCTCTCTCTTTAAAAAAAATTTAAAAAGAAAATTTTAAAAAGTGTCTGAAATTAAAGGAAATATTCCCTTTTATCTTCAGAGCTGGTCTCACAGATGTAGTCTCTGTTCAGTCACACAGGGCCCATGTTCAGAAAGACCCCATACTTAGGTCAATACTGCTGTCATCCTCTTGAAATCCTTCATTTTTGAACAAGGAATCCAACATTTTAATTTTGCAACGAGCACCTCAAGTAATGAATCTGCTCTCTACTGCAGAATCAGTCAGGATTTCTCTTGATCTAGAAGCTACTGAGGCATAAAAGGGGCATTTAAAGCATACGGCATGGCATAATAGGAAGGGAAAAGATGGCAATGGAGCATAAGGTCCAATTTCGTTATTCAATATGTGAGAAAAATAAGGGCCCAAAGGTAGCAATTTGCCCAAGGCTGTTTGTTGCTTAGGAGTGTCAGAGCTAAGACTGGAAACCAGATGATCATACTGGCAGCTTCTCTTTCAGTCTCATTTCCCTCCCATAAAATGGAACTTACATTTATGATTCATGCCCCCAGACAGGTAGAAATGAACATTAACTAATGACTGTTAATTGAGCTGGAAAACACCATTTGGGGATGAATAAAATGTTTGGGATACATCTGATTTTGAAATGAAAGACACTTCCAATTTTTATTCCTCTCTTTGAAGTTACTTAGATGCAATTACAACTTTGTCTGCATATCCTCCACTGACATAACATACATAGCTGGTTTTATGGAAAAGAGTGAAATGACTCAGAGAGAAATCATGACTTGGGAGGAGAAATCAAGAGATAAAACCCTAAACATTATTAGTCATTCCAATTGAAAGTTGGGCAAGACAGGCTATGAGTGAATCACAAATACAAAAGGGCTTCAAGAAACATGGGGCTATTTCTTCAGGATTATTTCAGAAAATTACAGGCTACTTTGAAAATAAGTTTGAATAAGTACCATTTTCTGAGTTTGGGACCATTATACCAATCTCAAGTAAAGCATTAGCCAAATAGTGTAGATCCTCTCAAGAGCTATGAATATTTCACCATTTGTTTCTCTGGTTATACCAAGAAGGAACACTTCACAGGCAATAGACTATGGCTGCACAATTGGCAATGCCCCAAAGCAGTAAGCCTAACACATACTTAAAAATATATAAGAGTTCTGTGATATCTTTGTTTTTCATGTTTAACTCCCAATAGAGAGACAAATTGTATGGAAAATTCTTTTTTTTATTGGTTGTTCAAAACATTACAAAGCTCTTGACATATCATATTTCATACATTAGATTCAAGTGGGTTATGAACTCCCATTTTTACCCCAAATACAGATTGCAGAATCAATTCTGAATGACTAATTCTTCTAAGTTCTTATGTTCTTGTAGCTTAGAGTAGGACAGGCAGTGAGACATAGACAAAATGACTACGTATGGAGTGACACTTACATGGTCAATGCCTGGGTAGCAGAAAGACTTTTCATACCCAGGTATTGTCCTGGGAAAGACTACAAAGCTTTAAGATTTTTCTACCTTTGACTTGTATGAACTGTCAGCACCAAAACATATGCATGTATTTTGCATTTTGGTATATAGGAAGAAAACTTAATAATTTCAAGTTTTTTCAGTTATTAAATTAAAACAATAATTTTAATTAACTTCTCTAGATGTCTAACATTTTAATTTGTTCTTTAAAAAATATTAAGATATTCTATTTGCACAATATAGCACTATAATAAGCTTTGGAGGTGAGAATACACGAGAGAAATAAAAGACTTCTCTGGCTCTTTCAGTACTTTGACAGAGAAAGGCAGAGAATATAAGCCTACTAGCCTAATTGATTATACTCTAAGGTTTAGGGGTGGAGTGAGACTTTGAAAGCTTCTGGAGAAGATTTAATGTAGGTAACCGGAAGAGAAGAATAGATTTGCACAATGGCCATTTGTGTCAACCCCAGAGGAGCAGAATGGCCTAGGGATTGATGAAAGCGGAAGTATGAAAGCTTTATGCTCCAACTTGTGACCTTGTGAGCTTCCTCAAGATACCCACCGATTCTCCCTCTCTCTCTAACACAATCTGGTAACACACCTCCCTTTACTTCCTGTACCAGGCTTATAAATCCAGAGTGTCTATAAGGTCAAAAGAAACACCAACAGCTACTTGAGTAGACCCAGCAAGATTAGGATGGGTCAGAGACACCCACAAATGCAAGATACCCATACTCTGCAAGTTGTGAATGATTGATGGTGATGATGAGATTGAGAGCAGGTCACCTTTGGAACATTATGGAAGATGATTTTGTTGAACATGATTTTAGTTTGCTTAGGGTGACTGCAGAATGGCACTCGAGTGGGGAGAAGACAGATAAATGTGTGTCGTATGTGAGGAACTGACAGACAGATGAGATAATCACAGGGGATCTCTGGACAATGGCAAGAGTTGAAGGTGCTTATGTAATGGTTTTATTTTGCTTTAGCACTAGTCCACATCTGAACCACTCCCAATTCATCTGCACTTTCACATTTTGCACTTTGGGACAGCTTCTCAATGTATTAAGGGTGATGTACAGATAAATTTGTACCCCACCTGCTTTTTATTGGCATGAACCTTGGTTACAGGTTTACTACTTTATTTATCTTAATTGTCTTGTATCAAAGTTCCTCAGGTACATTCCCATTGTGCAAACATCACCACCATCCACCATGCATTACTTTTTATTGCTACTCTATTTCCTTCCTGTAACGTGATGCTTCTCCCAGGAGGTGGTGTTTAACTGCACTTAGAGTTCTGGGGACTTGCACACAGGTCAAGCCTTAATTATCCACTAAACAAATGATTGAATAATTCGCATGGACTTTCTTCAGTGAACTTAACTGACCTGATTATGTTTTTCTCAGGAGTATGGACAATTAACATTAGTTTACATACTGAGCCTAGACCTCATATGAGATTTAGAAAAAATATCCACACACAAATTGGAAAATTTAAATAGAATTAAGTAACACATTTCTCTACAAAAAAAAAAGTGATTGGTTATCAATGAAGCAGTTGAAACCCAGAGAGGTGAATAATTTTTGCCAGAGACTAAACCAGGAAGAATGGTCAGAATGCTAGATTGTTGTATGCACTGTGAAAACTGTACTTCTTTGCAATGCAGCAAATAGGTCATTAAGAGTTATTGGCTAGTGATGATTGTGTGGTTTGCTATTTGCCAGGTACTATAAAGCATCCTCTCTGCCCTCTCAGCAGCCAATATTATAAATTAAAAATGC